CATCCATCTATCTATCTATCTATCTATCTATCTATCTATCTATCTATCTATCTATCTATCTATCTATCTATCTGTCTGTCTATCCATCTGTCTGTCTGTCTAGCTAGCTAGCTATCCATCTTTTCATCCATCCATTCATCCATCCATCCATCCATCCATCCATCCATCCATCCATCCATCCATCCATCCATCCATCCATCCATCCATCTATCTATCTATCTATCTATCTATCTATCTATCTATCTATCTATCTATTGAATTATTGATAATTACCCTTTGTTTTCACCTTGTCTTCGTAGGAACCTTCCTTCTCATGCCTCCTGTGCAGGGGTTGGGGAAGTCGGAATTGTAGCAGTTGTGCTGTCCTCTGTGGCCACAAAAATGGAGGAGACAGCTGGGGTGATTGTAGTGCTCACGGTGTTAGTGATGGGAATGTTTGTAGTCTGAATGGGAGTTGTGGGGCTGTTGTTAGGACTTGATGATGTTGGAGGCTGGGCATATTGGGGGGAATTAAAAGCAAATGCAGGGTATAGGTTTCTAGAAATCACAGGCCAAGGATAGATATCGGGCAGCAGTCGCATGTAGGAGGGATATGGTTTCCTCCAAGCTACTCTAGAGAGATATGGAAGACGTACGTATGCCTTTGGCAGATAAGCGACTGGCACATATGGTTGATTTGTATAGGAGGTGTAGACATATTGGACAGGGGACCATCTGAACTGCTGTTGTCTCAGCTCAGATTGTCTTTCATTTTGCTTATCGCACTGCAAAGAGAAAAAGAAAGAAAATAGATAGAAGGTCATTTTCATACCACACATTGGACTTTGGAAACATCTCAACTTGGCAACATTTGAAACCACACATTATTCTATTTCACCTTGTGGAAAAAAAACAGATTAAATGAATTATCCTTGATGTTCAGATGATTTTGCCTTGGTGGTTTTACCTCCTTACCCTCCACTCTGTGTAATTGTGTTTGTTGTTTCAAATGGTACATCGAGAACCTCCATAGGAGACCTTGGCATTCTACAACAATGCATTCATTTATCCTGCACACCCATATTCCATGCAGATATTGAATCATCCAGAATCACTTCTGGATAACATTTCCTACAAGCCAAATAGGGGTGGATTAATGGAATAATGGGACCTAAAGAGACCTGGGACATTATGACTTTGGGTCTTTTTTTTCAGTCTCATTCTGAATGGCAGTGGGGAGTTTTGAACTTCCTGAATTTATTTACATATGCTCTAACACCCAAAGACAAGGAAACTGTGAGTGAAACTAGAAATTTATCAGGTACTCTTTCTTCTTGCACAGAAAAAATAAATTTAATCACCTAAGTACATGCAAAAATGAGAGGCCTTCTGCAAGCACTGAGAGAATTATTAGGACTCTTAAGGTTCTTTCACTAGAATCAGCTTAGTATATTAGAGAGGGAGTTGGTTCAGGAGTTGGCAAGATCTGGGTTCAATCCCCTTTTCTGACAACGCCTGGCTGTACAACCCTGAGCAATCAATTAGCTTCTTAATGCTCTAGACACCCTTAGAAGATGGTAAGTCACAGAGCTGAGGCCACTTTTGCTGGTGGAGGGAGCTTCCCCACTGGGAGTTCCCGAGGGAGGGGAGTCACAGCTCTGCTGTGGTGCTTCTCATGTGGCCCACACTCCTTACTGGTTACTGAGGAGGAAACAGGATGAATATAGATGCAGGGCCTTAGCAAAACTAGTTGGTTTTCATTCTCCACTGGTTATTTTTGGAAGCTTATCTTCTCAATTCCGGGATGTAAGTTTTTATGTTTTGAAGAGCAAACACTTGTATTTTTTGGGCACCCTTTACAAAATGCACATTGTGACATTCTAGACAAAAATAAAAAGAACTTACAGGCCATTTTTCCCAGTCCACGTTAGCAGTCTGATGTGGCGCCAGGAAAGGAACAATAAGAAATGCAAAGAGAAAGATAGTTAGACACCAGCTAAATTTGTTCATTCCTATGGAAAGTTTCTGCTCACTTAATATAATGAAGATTAACAAAAGTTTTCTTATTTCACTGCGATATAACTGCCAAGAGATATTTTCTGTGGCTCTAGACCTGGATTTTGGGCTGGTTTGCGCTCAGACAGAGGAAATCCAAAATGGGAATCTGGGAAGTTGTAGTCTTGGAGGGACTTGGAGGAGCATTCCTATCCAGCCCAGGAAGAGACTGGATCTATCATGAGGACTGTAGCCCCAAAGAACTCTGCCAGACATAGAGTTTTTGAGGTGCCCTGTGACAGAAGCATGGAGCAGACAGAGCAGAGCAGAGGAGATAGAGGATAGCATCCCATAGTGGGAGGATGATGGCAGCTCTGGTTCCTTGCAGGTGTCTTATAGTGTGAGCTCTGGGACTGGGGACTAAGTTAAGTATAGTAGGCTGACTTCAGTGGCCCAGCCTCCACTCAATGCAACAAAGAACTTGGACTGAAGCTGTAAGTTGTGACTGCCTTAGGAACTCAGGACATTCACCTGTCCTCTCTCTAGCTTTCTCCAGTGCTTGCTCTATGATCTTCTCATTATTTCTTAAAACTGTTTCTATTTCCAAGAAGAGAAGAGAGCAGAGCAGAGCATGGGAGAGGAGAGAGGAGACAGATAAGACAGAGAAAGAAGAGAAGTGGAAAGGAAAAGGAGAGAGAGAGAGAAAGAGAGAGATCTACAGGGATCTAGACCAATTCAACCCCTAGGCTAAAGTCAGATGAACCACTGTTGAAAGTAGAGCTGGGTGTCTTAGACCTTTGGCCCTTCAGACAAATCTCCCCTCTCTGAAAGATTTAGCAGAGATGCTTAGGGAGGTGCGGTCTGGAGAGAATCTTCACCCATTTCCTGATGGAAGGAGAGAGTGTAAAATTTAAAATTAAAAAGGAAGCCTGGGCCCAGCCCAATTTTGCCCTTATCTGTTGGTTACAACTACTTAATCTTTAAAGTTTATGAGGAGTAGCAGCATAAATTCTCTATTTCTTGCTGTGTCAACTACTTCCCTATGTGACCTCGATGAGGTTTTTATTTATCTAGGCCTTACTTTGTTCTGTAAAATGAGGCTGCACTGCACTACATGTCTAAGATCCCTTCTAAATCTCCCATTCTATAAGGTCTCCGATTCTAGACAATGAGCAGCATCTTGCTTGCAATAGAAATGATGTCTCAAGTTAATTTTTAAAACTATTTAAATAACTATCCAGATTTGAATTTTTCTTCCTGAAATTATATCACAAAAGAAAACAACAACACTTACCGAGAAGCACACCATTACAGCCAGAATATGTACAGTCAGGAATAGGACCTTCATTGTTGTTATTATGCTTGAAAAAAAGGACACACAATGCACTTTTAAAATGTATTTTAAGTTGTGGCTAAGAGACTCAAAAGTTGCATGAAGCCCCAAATTCTGGATTTTGGAAAGCCCCAGCGTCTAACCATGGTCATCGTATTTGTCTGCTCCAGTAGCTGATTGGCTGGTTGTCCTTCATTGTCGAAGAGTATCAAAGTGATGTCACTATGTTGGGGTCACAGTGTGGTGTGTCTGACTGTAACTGCTCAATGAGGGAAGTCAATTTACAGTCTCTGCAGGTGTTTTGGCTAAAATATTTAGCAACTCACTGGCACAACTGAATGTCTACTTTTTGTTTTTCCCTTGGTTTACTGAGTGACATTTATCTACACTTGAAAAATTTAACCTTTGTACTGGAATATTTCAAAAGATTCATGGTCTTACTGGTAGGCACAATCCTTTACCTATGCATTTTGCAGGCCCTCCGAACCTTAGTAAATGGTTTTTTGAGTTGCTGTGAATGAAAAACAATCACTTGGTTACTGACCCTCTTGTGATCACCTAATTTGTTAGTAAGAAGGCCAGCCTTCGTGCTGCACAATTTATGACTAGGCCCATAGAAGAAGACTTCCAAGTCCTGCTAGAGTATTTGTTCCCCTGATACAGCCTTCAAAGACCCAGGCTACTTTCTTGCTGTGATGATGCACTAGAAAACTGGAATCAGATGGGAATAAAAATCTTACTTTGGTGTTTACCAATGACTCTTACGGAATGTCATTATTAAAGCCTCCAGACATTTTAGGGGGGAAGTATTTAAATGGATTCAGATAGACCCAGACCAACCACAGGGACACATATGCATTAAAAGAAGGGAACGAATGGGAATGCAAAACTCACTTTCACCAAAATTGTTCAGATAATTATTGTTTTATACAACGGGTAACTGAGCAGACCTCTGCAGTTATGTGCACCTACTGCTGAGGAAATCAAGTGGTGAAAAATAACTCCTGCGAAAACAAGTTTAAACAAATGATATGAGATGACAGCACCATTCAGTCGGGGAGGTGAATGTATTTCCTAACCCCAAAATTGAGAGCTGCCTTTCAAAAGCATGGATCGAAGAACAGTCAATACATGACAAAATGGTTTTTTTTCCCTCTTTGTCATAAGATAGAGACTGGACCTGTGATTTCATTGATATAAGGAACTCCCAGAAGAAGAAACTTCCTTTAAGGGTCTAGGTTGGAATCTTCTCTGAAATATGGCCTTAGATGTGTTACCTTGGACATTGAGAGGTGGAATGACGTGTGGAAGGTGGCGTAGACAGGATATGTCAGAAACAGGATTTGAACTAGGTCACTTGGACTCCAAGGCCAGCTCCCTATCTGCTCTCTCTCTATTTGTGTTATATAAGGAAGTGAAACAGGTAAGAGTGAGGCATAGTGTAGACAAGACAGGATCCCTGGACTTGGGGTCTGGAAGACCTGGCTTGAAATCATGATTGCTACTGATGAGCTCTATAACCTTAGGAAAGAGGCAGTGGATAGAGCACTGGGTCTGGAGTCAGGAAGACCCGAGTTTAAATCCAGCCACGGACATGTCCTAGCCGTGTGACCCTGGGCAGGTCTTGTAACCTCTGATTGCCTGACAAAATGCATCTGCTGGAGAAGGACTCCAATATCTTTGCCAAGAAAACCCCATGGACAGCATTGGCATGCTATGGTCATGAAGAGTCACGTGACTGAAATGACTGAACAACAGTAACAAAGGACTAGGCAAATCAATCCACCTTTGGAGTTCCTCATCAGTAACAATCCTCACCCTCCCTACGTCCAGGATGCGCAGTGAAGAAAGCGCTAGGTAAGCCTTGAGATGCTGAGTATGAATTATTACTATTATCATCATTATCATACAGGGAAAAAACAGCAAAGTTTATCAGTTCTTCTCGTCTTCAAGAAGTAATTCAACACATGCTTTTTCATCAGTCACCAAGTCAATACTAGTTGTAATCAAACCTATCTTCTTGGAAGATAATTATAACATTTGAAAACTATAATCGATTTGAAACCTGAATTAACACAAGACAATTGTACCACCTGGAAAATATAATAGATTTGAAAATTAAAATGAATTAGCCACGTAACAGAGCCCCTTGAGATGTCACAGGTGTCTTCAAAGCATAACTTGACATAACAAGTACATTTCAGAATGGATCAAATTAAGAAGCTAAGTAATGACTTTTAGGGACCTTTAAAAATTGAATGTGGCTACATGAAAGGGACTGTTTTGGCCTCTTATCTTGGGTCTCTTTGAGGGTTCTCCTTGATGCATCAACCTATATAAAGAGTCAGATTAGTCTGGGGCCCTAGTCTAGAGAATGTCCTAAGTATATATTCTTGCAGTTACTACCCTTGACTTCCACCTGGAGAAGTTACAGAGGGAAAGAAACCCTCAGCTAATGATAGAATGTGAGATATGGATAATCAGAACATTTATATTAAAATTTGTCTCAAAGTATGTCAGGCTTAAAAGAGGCGTTTAAAAGTTTGGGGGTTACCAATAAGGGATGAAGGCAAGAAATGTTTCTTACTTTTCAGGTCTTTTCAGTCAGGTCTTGTTTCTGGATTGACTTGGTCACAGTGGGTTGAGTTGGTCTTCTCAGTGACTGCTACCTGGATTGCCCAGGATAAATAACTGAAGACTAATTAGGAGAGTTTTGTGCCTTAAGTCATATTCTTCTACTTCCCTCCTACCTTTCACCTAATAGGGAAGAGGGAAAAAAGAAAGGTTTGAGGAAATTAGGTCACTTCTTGGTAAATCCTAGGTAATGTGTTAGCCAGGGTCAAGAAGAGGGGAAGAGAGAATTACCAATCTTATAATCAAAAGTCCTGTAGACTTGTAGCTGGAAGAAACCTTAAAGATCGTCTAATGACCATGAAATGACTTTCCCAAGATCATGCAGACGGGCAGTTTTGGAGCTCATGTTTGAGCCCAGACCTCTACTTACAAAGGCAGTGTTCTCTCTACTTCACTAAAATTATAGAATCATAGAATTCATGGGTGGACCTGAAAGATTGATCTGCAAGGTCATTCTCCGTATTTTATAAATGAGGTATCATTAGTCTTCTTTCTCAAAGATGTAATCTGTTAAAGTATTTGTACTACATGATAGGTATTTTTATATGCCTCTGTGTGTGTGTGTGTGTGTGTGTGTGTGTGTGTGTGTGTGTGTGTGTGTGTGTGTGTGTATGATAAGAGGCAGCTAGGTGGTACCATAGTGTATAGAACCCTGGACCTGGAGTGGGGAAGACTAATCTTCCTGAGTTCAAATCTGACCTCAGACACTAGCTGTGTGACCCTGGGCAGTCACTTAACCCTGTCTACCTCAGTTTCCTCATCTGTAAAATGAGCTGGAGAAGAAATGGCAAACCAGTCAGGTACTTTTGCCAAGAAAACCCCAAATGGGGTCATGAAGAATTGGACACAAACCACTCCAGTACCTTTGCCAAGAAAACCCCAAATGCGGTCACGAAGAGTCAGATACAACTGAACAACAATGAAATAGAGGATATCAAAGTTTGCAAAGCTCTTTACAAATCTTATCTCATTTAATCTTCACCATAGCCCTGGAAGGTAGGCGCTATTATTACCCTCATGTTACAAATGAAGAAACTGAGGCAAACAGAGTGACTTGCCTAGGGTCACACAGCTAGTGAGTGTCTGAGGCTGAATTTGAATCCAGATCATCCTTACTCCAAGGGCATTGTCGCACCAGCTAGCTGCCTGCTATTTCAATAATATTCAGAAACATGTTGGCATGACGTATTGCCATATATATTACCATGTATGGAACATATCATCCAGGGAATGTATGTTTACAAACAAAGGGGGAGGGGAACAGTCATATAATGAGAACAAGTTATGGCAAATGATAGCTTGAGGGCTGCATTGGAACTTGGGGACTGTTAAAAGGTGATGGAAGACCCCCAGTACCTTAGATGGATTCTCCTGTGGAAGATTTATGGGAGCTTATGAACACAAATTGCATAGAATGAGAAAGCATAAATGGGCTGATATCTGTAGTGCTGGGGGGAATCCTGTATTAAGGAGATCACATCCATTTTTTGTACTGAATATTTCTTGAATGCAGGAAAGTATTGAATAGCATGGCTGGGTGATTTTTGAACGTGCACAATTTAGTTACATAATAGTAACTTCAACGATACAGTGGATAGAGTGTTGATCCTAGAATGAAAAATCAAACCTGGCCTCACGCGTTTACTATCTAGCTGAGTGACCCTGGGCAAGTCACTTCACCGCTGTGTGCCTCAGTTTCCTCAACTGGAAAATGGAGATAATAATAGCACCGTCTTCCAGCAGTTGTTCTGAGGACAAAATGAGATAATGTTTGTAAAATGCATAGTACAGTGCTTGGCTTAGAGAGGATGCTTAATAAATAATGGTTTCCTTTCTTTCTTCCCTCTCCCTCCCTCCCTCCTGGTAGATTTATTGTAGGGGTTCCTGCCAAACACTCACAACTAATGTTGACCCTGTGGTTGTTTCGTGCTTCTCAGAATTATTCCTCTTCCAAGAAATGGCTCAACACTTGGAAAGTCAGAAAGACAACGTGTACTGAAGATGGCCATGCTCAATCAGTTGGCGAAATCTGTTTGCAGCCTTTCTCTTTCCCGGTAACTAACTTCTGAATCCCCAAATGCGTCTGGCTGGATCTCACGACTGCTCCCACTCCACGTGGGCTGCCCCAGAGACGGAGCACGTAGGTGTGCTTGACTGACTTTTCAATCATGTAAAGTTTTGTTCTGCTCATCTGTGGGGACTAAATGCAGGGTTCATCTTATCCTTTGGCCCATGTGTAGTGAATGATGTAAAATTAGGCTCTTATTTGTTAATTTTCTTATGACCAGGCCACCTCCAGGGATATCTGAGCCCAGAGGCATCCCTATGGAGGTGAAATTTGGACCAAATCATGCTAATTAGCACTCCTGTCAATATTTTCATATACTCAGAATCAAATGAAAATGAACATTAAGAGCAGCCTTGAAAGGGGGAAAAAAGAATGAATCACAAAAGGAAAAATATAGCCTGAGCGAGATGTATGTGGAAGGGGGGTCAGGGTAGTCTCACCTCATTGTTCAGAAGGTGGTTGGGGGGGATAGTTATGAGATGATTGAACAGAGTATTACAGTAAATCTATCCATCCATCAATACACCCACCTGTATCTATCTATCTATCTATCTATCCATCCATCCATCCATCCATCTATCCTATCTACATCTATTTATCCATCCATCCATTTATCTATCCACCATGTACCTACCCACCTATATCTATCTATCCATCCATCCATCTAGCTATATCTATCCATCCATCTATCTATCATCTATCTATCCACCTATCTCTGTCTGTCTACCTATCTATCATCTGTCTATCTATCTATTGATCTATCTATCCATCTATCCACCTATCTCTGTCTGTCTATCTATCCATCCATCCATCCATCCATCCATCCATCCATCCATCCATATCTGGCATAGGCTCTGAAGATGAGTAGTAAGTTGGGCCCAGACTTAAATAGGAGGAAGAGAGCAGGCTTGATTTTATTCAGTAAATCATGCACTTCTTTCAACACAAAAATCTCTTTTTAACACAGATTGTCCTGGTGATAGTACATGGTTGTGAATCTGACAATACCCCAGAGGGATTAAGAATAGATCACCTCTAAGATTCCTAATCTATTCCATGTTTTCCATGGAGCTCTTAATCCATGATCAAAAGTCACACTAAGGCATTATGGACAGAGTGACATAGTAGGGCAATATTGTAGATGTAACAGTGGACTCATCATCATCATTCCCGTGTCAGCCCCACAACGGACCTATTGTGGTAGGCAACCTTGGTGAGGCAGATCACTTGACCCCTGAGCCTCAGTTTCCTTATATGCTAAATAGTCCAATGATATTTCTGTGCACGTGATTAACCTGGACAATTTAGTAATAGAATGGTAACTTCCGAGGCAGCTGGGAGGAAAAGTGGATAGATCTCAGATCCTGGGATCAGAGAGACCTGAGTTCAAACCTGGCCTCAGACATTTACTAGCTATGTTAACCTCAACCTCTATCTACCTTAGTTTCCTCATCTGTAAAATGGAGATGATAATAATAATACCTACCTTCTGGAGGTATTGGGAAGATTAAATGAAATAATATTTTGTAATATTAAACAAGATAAAATTTGAGTTTTGCAAACCTCAAAGTGCTCCTCAATTATCAAAAAGGCTCTTTTACAAAGTAGAATAGAGTTGAGAGACCCTCAAGGGTTGCTCTTCAGCTGAAGCCTAGAAATGTTCCTAGGCTCACAGGATACTTCTGGGGTCCCCTTGGGGATTTTGATTTATTCAGTAAGTGTCTGAGTGGCCTAGAAATCAGAGAGACCTGGTTTCCAATCCTGCCTCTGACACAATATTGGCTGTGTAACCCTCGGCCAAGCCCCTTCACCCTTAATGCTCTATCTAGGCAGCTCTCTGAGAGTAGAACTTGCAGAGAAGATGTTGACCTACTGTGATAGAGGGAATTTCCTCCCCTGGAATTGATGTAAATACAAACAGTGCCTAAAAGCTGAAAGCTAAAAAAAAAATTATTAATGTTTGTTTTTCCAGTACCTCGTGAGGCCCCTCCTGAGCTTGAGGTCATCCTAGAGTCTCTCCCCCTTATCTTGAATATCATAAAACTTCCCCCCATCCTGGACCATAAATATTCCTTGTCTCCCTCATCCTGAGTCATAAAATTTCCCCTGTCTTCCTTATGCTGGGTCCCCTATCCTGTCTCCCATCTTCCTCATCCTGTGTCATGATAATCCCCCTTATTTTGTAAGATAAAACAGGCCCCTGTCCCTCTGTAAGTTGCCAGTCCCCTTTCCAGGGCCAGCCTGATGCTTTAGCATCAATAAAGCTCCCAATGGTTACAGAGAAGATCTAAGTGAATTCTTTCTCCCCTGAACCAGCTCTCCCAATGCTAAACCTTAACAGGATGGAATTTCCCATACCAATGAAATCACAGTTTCAGTCCCCATCTCTATCAATAGACACTCCATGATACCTGAACTAGTCTGAGGTTGTCTGGGAGCCCAGAATGGGTTTGGGAATTAGGGTGGTATGTTCTGAAGAATCTATGAACCAAAGGTCTATGAGTCAGGAGACTCCATCTATGCCTCTGGTTCTCCATTTCCTCATCTAAAGAGGAGCTAGGGCTCAGTGAGCCTTATGGCTCTTTGTTTCATGTCAGTAGTGTTCCCAATAGATTATGAAGATCGATCTATCCCAAGTTTTCCTTGGATGTTTAGGAATGGCATAATCTTCTCTACAGGAGTCTAGATTGGAATGTGACTGACCAGCTGATCTCACTTTGCTCCCCTGACTGTATTCCTTTGGAGGGAATCATAGACTTAGAACTGGAAGGGATCTAAGAAAATGTCTAATCTAATCTCTTTATTTTACAAATGAGGAAACTGAGGCCCAGAGAAGTGATGTAACTTCTCTAAGATCACACAAGTAGACCAAAGGTGGAATATGAGAGTGACGCCTCTTGAATCTCATGGAACAGCTGGTTGTCCCCTCCCCTCAGGTAATGAGGTAATTGGGTAGCCAAAGGTTTTGGCTGTCCTTGGATAGTCGTTGCTGATTATCCCAGAAACCTGGAGAAGAACAATTCCTGTTACTTGTGAAGGCATTTCCTTAAGAATGACCGAACAAGGAAATAGCACCCTCAGGGTAGTAATGTCCTCTAGAGCCAGTAAGAGGATCCAGAAACAATTGTACTCACTGTGTAGTCATTTCCATAGGTACTCTACTCATTCCTTTTCCCTCTTCTGCTCTCACAGGTGCCTTCCTAGGGGACGAAAATTTATATTCTCAAGATACTTCTGAAAGAAAATAGGTAGCGCGAATATAATTGGATGCTGAAGTCATTTTGCCACCATCTTTTCTGCCTTGTTTTTCTTTCTCCCTTTTAGATTGAATGCCATTGTTGTTGTCATCCTTCATTTTGGAAGAGGACCAAAATGGCATCCCTATGCTAGATTCAAGTTTCAGTGTGTCTGCCTGTGGCTGATCAGACCAGTATGAGCTTGGAATGCTCTTCCACAAATAGTCTATGTGAACCTTTGGGGTGGATTCTCTAAGTTGGCATTATCTTGTGTTTCTCTTGAGCTATTTCAATTCTGCTTTGCACTCATAGAGCACAGCACCTTCTCTGATGTGGGCATGCCATGCTGAAGGGTCCTGTGCCAGTGTCTCCCACATCACACAATCAATTCCAGAGTTCTTAAGAGAGACCTTGGGAGTGTCTTTGCATCACTTCTTCTGACCACCATGTGAATGCTTGCTGTGTGTGAGTTCTCCATAAAATAGTCTCTTTGGCAAGCATACATTTTGCCTTCGAATAACATGGCCAACTCATCACAGTTGCGCTCTCTGAAGCAGAGTTTGAATGCTTGGCAGTTTAGTTCAAGAAAGGACCTGAGTGTCCTGATCCTGCCAGGTGATCTTCAAAATCTTCCTAAGACAATTCAGATGGAAGAGATTCCGTTTCCTGGCATGGCACTGGTATACTGCCTAGGTTTCACAGACATTCAACAATGAGGTCAACACAATGGCTCTGTAGACCTTCAGTTTGGTAGTCTGTCTAATACCTCTTCTTTCCCATACATTCATTTGGAGTCTCCCAGACACTGAGCTAGCTCTGGCAATGTATGCATCAACCTCATTATCAGTGTGTACATCCCTGGAAAGTACCCTAAATGCCATAAAAAATAGCAGAAGGTAGATGAAAATGATGAGCTGAAGCTCATTGGAGGGAAGAGGGGACAATTCTTTTTAACTTTGTGTTTCTCTTAGTGCCCAAGACATGTTTACACATATGAGTCCTTAATAAGTATTTGTTTAATTAAATTAAATTGAATTTCCTGAGTGTGGCTTGAATGTAGCTAGTATGAGTCAGAGGATTGGTATATTGAGCAAAGCAATGTACTTACCCTCTGAGAAAGAGTTTTAGACCTGGAGTCAGATGACCAGAGTTCAAATCCTCCCTCACATACTACTCTTGAGCAAATAGCCACCTGATTACTGGTCTGTTTCCTAAAATCATACACAGGCCTAGAGCTGGAAGGAACTTAGAAGTGATATAGTCCATCATTCTTATTATACAGATGGAGAAACTGAGACCCTAAAAGATGTTTTTCCTAATTGATAAAATTGAGGTAATCTTTGTACTACCAAAATCACAACTGTGTTGTAGGAAAAGTATATATGTGCAGTTTAGTAAATTTAGGGACATATTTACAAATTGTTTCCCAGGATTGTGCTCAATTGGTTCTCTTGTCCAGGAGAGGCAGCGCCAATGATAGAGTTTTAGACAAGGTTTGGGGATAATGATAGTCATCAGGAAGTGGTGGCAGCTAGGAACCGGACATGGGAAAAGTTATGGGGAAAAGAGGAAGACTGGGAAGATGAAGAAGAGGAAGGGGATGAAGAGGAGGAGAGGGAGGACAAGGAACAGGAGGAGAGAGAAGACAAGGACATGGATGAGTAGTGGCAGAATGTGGTTGAGGGGAATGGGGGGACAAGGAGGAGGTAGATTGGGAGGATGAGGATGAGGATGAGGATGAGGAGAAGCTGGAAGAGAAGAAGGAGGACAAGGAGAAGGAGGACTCCCAGCTCTTTTTGGAATCTCTGTGGGTAATGGACAGGTTGAAGGACATGTACTTCCCCTTCCTTGAGGGTCTTTGTGCAAGTAGACTGAAGACAACTAAACAATTCTTGTATATCTCCTCAACTGACCTTTCTTAATGGAAATAATAATAGCTATTATTTATGTAGCACATTAAAGTTTGCCAAATAATTTATCAATGTCATCTCATTTGATTCTCTTAACAATACTGTAAGGGTCAAACTACTGCTTCCTGGGAAAGTCTCACATCAATTCCACCAAGGAAGGGCTCTGGAATGAATAGTCAGTCTTCTAGACTACAGGTTCTGTGAAAGCAGGACTCATACTCTATCTAAACATTCCATTTTCCATAGAGCCTAGCACTCTGTAGAGATGCTTTTTTCTTTGTAAATTTGGCTCCATTCCCCAAATATTTGAGAATTGAGTTCTTTATTAGAGAAACTCGCTGTAATTTTTTTCACCCAGTTTTCTGCTTTCCTTCTAATTTTGGCTACATTGGTTTTATTTGTGCAAAAACCTTTTAATTTCACATATTCAAAATGATCCATTTTACTCCTGTGATCCTCTCTATTATTTGGGCATAAACTCACCCTCAGCCATAGATCTGAAAGGCATTTTTTCCATGCTCCCCTAATTTGCTTATGATATCACCCTTTATGTCTAAATCATGTACCCATTTTGACCTGATCTTGGTATAATGTGTGAAATGTTGGTCTGCGCCTATTTTCTGCCAAACTGCTTTCCAGTTTTCTCAGCAGTTTTTGTCAAATAGTGAGTTCTTGCCCCAGGAACTTGGATCTTTGGGTTTATCAAACACTAGGTTGCTTTGGTCATTCACTGTTACGTATTGTGTACCCAATCTATTCCACTGATCTGCCGTATTATTTCATATCTAGTACCAAATGATTTTAATGATTACAGCTTTGTAGTAAAGTTGAAATCTGGAGGGAAAATGCTTCCCAGAATGACTGGACCAATTCACAGCTCCACCAGCAGTGCTATGGTATGTTTGTTCTTCCATATCCCCTCCAGCAGTGGTCATTTTCTTCTTTTGTTGTAGGGGAATGTTTGCATTTGTTAATATTTGCTAAATTCACAGCAAAAAAGAAGTTTTCTGAGAGTTCATGCTCTTTAGAAGAGACAAGAAACAAAGAAGGGCCTTGTAATTAACGTTTAATTCAATTTCCTTCTATCGTCTGTAGCATTGTGTTTCGCTTGTTCCTGTCATGCTGTCTGAAAATATTTTCTATAGTAATTATTGGAGGGGGGCTTAATAACTAGCTGACTGGTCATTAAGCTGGCTTTCAGCTTCTCTAGCTGCAAAATGAAGATGGTGGACTGGAACCCTGGAATCTGCTATGAACCTACAAGTAAGGGTCATTAAAGAGGAAGGGAGTGAAAAGAGCTCAGCCCAAGAGTTGGCCCTGGCAAAGTGTCTCTACCTTCCTCTGCTTCCTTCATGTGTAACCTTCATTGTTTGTTTAGATCCCCCCATCACCAAAACACCTGCTGGTCTTATGTGGTCATGGGCCACCCTTGATTTCTCATTTATGCAACGTCCTAAGCCTGGCCCTTCCTAGACAGTACCCTGTGATCTGCCCTGCTCTTTGTCCTTGGCCCTATCAAAACTAACCCTGTCTCTTGACCCATTCCTGCTGAAATTTGAGCTTAGGTAGGTGCTATATGGGAGAGCAACATGATAAAAAATTTTTACTGGGATGTCAAAGTCTGTTAATGGTTAATATGTTATCACCTTCCTGGGCTATTTTAATTCCAACAGGCATCAGTGCCTTAAGGACAAAGGAATTACTCTTTAAACAATCTTAGCCTCTGTGTTAGGGAGGTGTGAAGGCAGGATTGTCACCTACCAGCATACATTTAGTGCTGGAAGGGATCTCAGAAGGCCTCTAGTCCAACCCCATCATTTCACAGATGACCCAACTTTGGCCCCAAGTGGTTGAGTGACTGGCCCAAAGTCTCAGAGTTTAATGGGACATTTGAACTCAAGTTCTCTGACTTCAGTCCCAGTACTTTGTCCACTACACTGTGGCCTCCAAGTGAAAGGGACAAGTCAATCAGTCAGTCAATAAATGGCACTGGCCTAACCATTGGGGATTCAAAAGGACAATAGATAATCCCTTCCCTCAGGGAGCTCATAGTCTAATCAAGGGATTGAGGATTGAATAGGGTCTGGACATGGGATTTCACTAGTAGAGGAGAATACCTGGTTGGGGAAACTCCTTCTGTCAATGCAGGTGGGCACTTTCTCTGTCATTTATGTCTGAAAGAGGTGCTGAAAGCATTGAGAGATTGCTGTCGTTGTCGTTTGTTTGTCTTTAGTTTTTGAAGAGGGCTGTGACATCAGGGAGGTGATGCCATGACTTGCAAGTGAATTGGATTTAAGTGAGGCAGGGCTGTGCAAAGTCACCAGCCTCACTTTCTCCTCTGGAGCCATCTGGGTCTGTGACCAGATACAGATCAAGATAATGGGAGATGGTCCAGGATACAGTGGGAAACTTTGGCCTTTTCAAACTAAGAATCTTTTTCAGGTCTCAGTTTGACTAATGCAATGCCCATAATCATTGAAAGATTAAATGACTAAGGGTCACATAGCCAGTATGAGTCACTGGCAGGACTTGAAGCCGGGTCTTCCTGACTCTTTCAAGGCTGACTGTCATGCTGCCATGGTTCCTTCTGAGTGCCCCTCAAATTGTACCACCTTGAAGCCTCACGAGGCCAGCCCTAGCTAATAGTGAGCCAGTGAACCCAGGCCTGTGAAGGACAATGCTCCATGTATCCAGTTCTGAGGACAGCCTCAGCTGTAGAATGATCTTTGTTCAAAGGAAAGCTTGCTGACTTCCTTATTAGAATCCCAGTGGAACAAAAGCTGTCCTTGTGACACTATGAAAGGCTTATTATTGTGTCTGACACCTCCTGCCAAGGACAGTCTGACAGTCTCATTTCATAATCACCTCTTCCCTCTTCCTTCTTTGTGGATTTATTTTTATACTTCTGTGGAAGAGTAGACAGAGACATTAGCCAGGACAAATAGTTCCCCTGCAGAATTCACAAAACCCTTTGCAAGGTACATTTACACTACACAGAAAAGAAGGGATATTTGCCAGGCTAAATGTCTCCTCCCATCCGCGTTGAAATCTTTTCCCTGGTTTACTGATAACTGATTAAGCCAGCAAATCATTTTGGGAACAGGGTGGATTTCTTTTCCCTCAAAATTCATGCATTGTCTTAGAACCAAACATTTTATTCTCTGCTTGATTTGATTTGTGGGCACACAGTTTATGCAAGACATTGGGAGATGAGATGAATTGGGTTGGGAAGATGCTGTGATTCAGAGTACAGAGACAGAAATGTCCTCCAAAATTAGTACTAATACTAATAACTAGCTTCTGTATAGCACTGTAAGGTCTGCAAAATGCATAGCAGATATTATTTTATCCTCACAATGACCCTGGGAGGTAGGAGTTACTAGTCTGCCCATTTTGAAGATGAGGAAACTGAAGCAGACAGAAGTTAAGTAACTTATCTACCATCACACAAGAAGTGTCTGAGGTGGGATTTGAACTCAGATCTTCCAGATTCCTAGTCCACTGAATCACCTACTTGCCAAAAGGGACTACCCTCACAATGAACGTGAATTGGAGGGAGATGACATGATCTTCCAAAAACTTCTTTTGGAACATACCTAAGATGCTTCTTCATAAGTCAGATAGAAGGGGGAAAGGTTTTCAGATGACTAATCAGTAGTGTGGTATGGAAAATGTCACTTAAGTGGCCTTGAGCTAGTCAGGGCCTCATCTGTAACATGGGGATTGGGACCACTAGGTGGTACAGTGGATAGAGTGTCGGATTTAGAGTCAAGAAGATTCATCTTCCTGAGTTCAAACATGGGCTCAGACACTTAGTAGCTGTGTGACCCTGGGCAAGTCACTTAACACTATTTGCCTCAGTTTTCTTATCTGTAAAATGAGCTGAGGAAGGACATGGCAACCCACTCCAGTATCTATGCCAAGAAAAACCCCAAATGGGGTCACAAAGAGTTGATTGAAAAATGACCAAACGACAACATGGGGACCAGACGGGATGACCCCTGGAAGGTACCTTGCAGCTTCAAAAGTAGTATCTTAGATTCATTTTTCATTTTACAATCCAGGCAAATTTAAAGGCAGTTCATATAATCCTTGTATTTTTGATTCTGGAACAAGTAATAAGGTGATAATGGGGACAAAATCCCAATCACTTATACTCTACATACCTCTCTATAAGCACCTAAATATTTCCCATGGATGTCATGCCAGTTTACAGAGGGGCTTGCCTATCTGGAAATGATAGATCAGCCTTGCCCAGGTGCCAACATCATCCTCACCATCCTCGTCGTTTAGTCTATTCAAAAGCAATAGTAGTATCATTCCACTTCAGAAAGAAGATTATCAAATGGAACAGTGAACTCATTAAAAGGTACCTGTGAGCAAGCTGGAGCTTCAGATCTGACAACTTTCCTTTGACGACTAAAACACAGCTGAAGGAGACTATTTGGTAGCCAGGATTTATTTAATTAATTAAAATTAATTTCATTTAAAATTTAATTTATTTAATCTTAATTATTTAATTAATTTAAGCTTCAGAGCGAAGTGTCCTAGGGTAACACTTTTACCCAAGGAATTGAATCAGAAAAGCATTCGAGAGTCTTTGGTGGACTTTGATTCAAAGATTTCAGGGGATGTGACTGTGCCTGAGAGGAGTCTTCCTTTTTCCTCATCTCAAAGGAAGGAGAAAAATGAAATCTAAAGGCAAGAAGTGAGCAAGAGGAGATGAATTATAGTGGAAAGATGCTGTGATTCAGAGTACAGAGACAGAAATGTCTTCCAAAATTAATAATAATAATAGTAGTAATAACTAGCATTTATATAGCACTTTAAGGTTTGCAGAGTGCATAGCAAATATTATTTTATCCTAACCAGAGTAGACTCGCCATGACATAAGGAAGGAACCCCAGCAACTCCATTCTGGGATGCTGTCCAGAGTTCCCACGACTATGGTTGCTGGAGCCACCTGGTCTGGGAGAAAAAGACAAAATCTGAATTGAGTCAGACAAAGCACAGGGAGCTGATATAGAGTGGCTATAACTGCCTCTGTTGCCTAGAACAAAAGTGGGAACTCTCTTGCTTTCTTATCCCTTATAAAGTGAATTCAGACTGTCTTGAATGTAGAATGAGTTGGCAGTTTCTGGTGGGAGGAGATGTGTGAGAAAGGAATAAGGCAACTTCTCGTCTCCTGGTTTCTCTGCAGAGAGATTTAAAAGAATCTCATCCCCATGGAGGGGCAGAGTTTTGGCATTGACTGATATAATAGCCATGAGGATATCTGAAAGGAGGAGCCAGAGAGGTAGGGGCTAGAGACAGAGAGGAGAGAGTTCTTTATTGCTAATCACTTGATATCCCCCCACCCCGCCCCTGCCACTGGTACTCTAACATCTCTCTATGGCCTGTATGCTGTGGGAGAGTGTCTTCTCCCTCAAATTGAGCCAGCTGCTGCTATCAATCAACATAAGCATGTGGATGGACCCACATTTCAGATCATCTCAGGGTTTGCTTGTCAGTAGCACCAATATCTGATTATGTGGGACGACACTGTTTTCTTATGCAGAGTGCCTTTGTCGATAATGGATGCCTTGGGCATGGCTTTGGTTTGCCTCTTGGTCCATGGGATCTAGGGTTTGTATAAACAGAGTAGCACAGACTCTGATTAGATGAAGATCCTTGCAACCCCCAGAGAGTGGCTGAGTGAAACCCTCGCAAGAGATGTGAGATCCAGTAAGTGACAGGGCAGCTGGTGATGAAGCCAGGGGATAAAGAAAATGAGACAGAAATAGAGCGAGGAAAGAAAAAAGGCACCTGGAACTGAGGAGACTTTGCCTTGACTTTCATTTTACTGCTGCCAACACAGGCAGAAACTTTTGGATAGCAAGGCTTTGCTCCTTACGTATGGCTAGTAATGGCTGCAGCACCCCAAGGCTTCATCACCCTCATCCTGAGAGTTAACATCATCTCAAGCATTCAGATTTCAGAATCCATGTTCTGGAAAAGTCACTCTTATCCTTCCTGTTTTCTATCCTGAAGTTTGGTACTGATGCGGCAGCTGGGACTTGTGGACTCACATATGCCTAGGACTGGGAAATGGGTGATGGAATGACTGCCCATTATTTATTTTATTGTTATTTGTCTTTTTTCATCTCCTTGGAAGGAGCAGCTTGGTGGAGTGGATAGAAAAGTGGCTGTGGAGCCAGAAAGACCACACTGGTTGTATGACCTTGAGCTGGCTCATCTCTCAGTGCCCTAGGCAGCACTTATGTTTCAGAGAAGGGGATGACCTCTATTGGTAGAGGGAGTTTCTTCATTTAGGACTTCCTTGTAGCAATGAAATCACAGGTTCAACCTCAAAGAGATGGAAGAAAAGGACCCATGTGCACAAAAATATAATATATAGTAGTTTTTTTGTTGTGGCAAAGAACTGGAAATTAAAGGAGTACTCATCAGTTTGGGAAAGACTGAACTACATAGATAGATAGATAGATAGATAGATAGATAGATAGATAGATAGATATAGATATAGATAGCTATATACTCACACACATATACATTTATATACATATACATATATACACACACACACATATATGCTATATATGAATATATTGGAATATTTTTGTGCTGTAAGAAGTGATGAAATGAATGATTTTAGAGAAACCTGGGAAGGCTTGTATGAAATGATGAAGACTGAGGTGAGCAGAACCAGGACAACAGTTTCTACAGAGGCAGAAATATTGTGACATTGCACAACTTTTGAAAGATTTAGAAGCTCTGACCAGTGTAATGGCCAGCCATGATTCCAGAGATCAATGGTGAGGCATTCTATCTGCCTCCTGGTGGGGTGGTGAGGGACTCACAGTGCAAAGGAAATCTTTTTTTAAGACCAAAAAAATAATCTGTATAATGCCAACAGACTTGTAGAGACAAACCTCTATGAATGAGTTAGGAACTTTGATTAATGCAGTGAAGAACCACCAATTCCAGAGGACTTGTGATGAAGCATGCTACCTATCTCCTGAGAAATTTATGATGGACTCAAAGTATAGAATAAGACACACATGGCTTGGTTTGATTTTGCTTTTTGGACATAGCCAACGTGAGGATTTGTTTTGTAAAACTATTCATATATGTCTCAAAGGTTTTGTTTTATATTTTCTTTTACAATGGTTATGTGTGAGGAAAGTAGGAGGAAGAGAAAATATGCCTGTAATTGAAAAAAAAATTAAATTAAAAAAAATCACAGATGCACTTCACATTACTATCTGTGTCCTCAGTAAATGTCATTTTGCCTAACCACAATGCCATGTGTTTAATTCTAGTTAGGTTGAAAAAAAAAGTTCCGTGAGAAATGAGGACTTGTGACAAGTGGTTTTGAAAAGATGAAGGACTCAAGTTTTGGAAACCTGAATGTATGGGTGGCCCCATATCTATATTTACCTAAAGACAGATATAGGTAAAACATCTCTTTGTTTTGTTAGTCTGGCTAAGTCTGGAGAGGCTCATCTATGTGAGTGATAAATTGTGTGTAGATAAATCCACACAAATCCAGTCACAGTAACTGATGAATACTATCTTTTAAAGTGTAGAGGGGTCATGATATGCATTGAGAGATAACCCAAACCAATGAAATCGCAGATCTTGAAACATTTGCCATTAATGTTTATTATAGAAGAGGTATCACACTGAACATAGTTAAATGCCTTGAGTCAAAGATATGAGTCAACAAAGGTTTCCTCTTTGGCCTCAGTATGCCTTCTTCGAGCAGGCAGCTTTTAGAGAACATGAAGTCAAGGTTGAATTTGAGCATGACCTGAAAGAGAGGATGGAAACGCTGTCATTAATTCTGCAAAGACAGCCTTCTTGGGATGTGCTGAACATTTTGCTTTTCTAATACAAACACCCTAACATGTCTCTTGACAGCCCTCATCTAGTTTCTAGGATTGGGAAACTTTCAATCACAGATTGGGTGGATAATGGGAAGGTGAAGGCTTCTGGATAGAATTTGAAACATTGACTTTGAAGCTCTCTGTTAGTTCCTGGGGTGAGAACACATTGGATATTGAGTGTTTGAATTCCTTAGCCAATGGGCCCATTCTTGCCTTCACTTCCAGGGCAGGGTATTGGGCAGTTTATCCAATTTAGAAAAATAAGAGATACTTTCTGGGATTTCCTTGCCTTGACCTTCACCATTTGGATGCTATGTTTGTATCGACTGCATGAAGCAGACATGTGTGTGTGGCTTTGTAGCACCCAGCATAGTGCCTGGCACATAGTAGGGGTTTGGTCAGTGCTTATTGATTGATTGAGTCTTTGATTGATTGATTGACCAATGGTACCCTTATCTAGGGAACTGGATATAATCTAGACTACAGAATCTTCAAGTTTGTCTTTCATTACTGCATTCAAAGTTTTGCTTTTTAGATATCTGACACGGTAAGTGTGGGACAGACACAGAAAGCAGAGATTAGAGTAAGAGAACCTGGGTTCAAAATCTATCTTTGAGGCTTACTACCTGAGTGACCTTGGGCAAGTGACCTCATCTCTCTGGGGCTCAGTTTCTTTATAGTAAGCATTGGATCAGATTACTTCTGAGGCCCTTTCTAGCTGTAGATCTCTGATTTGTTGATGCTATGACTTTAAAAAGCTACTAATGGTAAATTTTGTCCAGTCATTTTAGTTGTAACCAATTCTCCGTGACCCCAATGGGGGTTTTCTTGGCAAAGATACTGGAGTGGTTTGACATTTCCTTCTCCAGCTCATTTTATAGATGAGGAGGTTGAGGCAAATAGGGTTAAATGACTTGCCCAGGGTCACACAGCTCCTAAGTGTGTCTGAGGCTAGATTTGAACTCAGGAAGATGAGTCTCCCTGATTCAAGCCCAACACTTCATCCACTATGCCACCTAGCTACCCTTTAATGGTAACACCTAATGTATAAAGAAAAAAGTCTTGGTTATAGTAAAGAAATGTTTTCATCTGTTTTCTAGCCTGAGCAGCCATGTGGCATAAAGGATAAAGAGCTAGCCTTAGAGTCCAGAAGACTTGGTTGGGATGAAGTCCTGCTCCAATATGGACCTGCTGTGTGGTCCCGGGTCAATCACTTGTCCTCTCAGTGCCCTGGACTACTCTAACATAATAAACTGCAGGGCAAGTGGTGACCTGAATTAGTGGAGGCAGTTTTCTTACTGGGAGCTCCTTATATTGATGAAATTACAAAAAAAGTATTTTTTTTCCTAGCCCGTACTGTAAGAGACTTGATTCCCATGAGAAACTCTTCTCATCACCTAGAACCCATCAGATTATGCAGATTCTTTGACTCCAGCACCCCTCCCCCCATTACCTAGAACCCATCAGATTGTGCAGAGATTCTCCGGATCTGCCATTTTAGTCTAGCACCTCTCCCCCCATTTCCTAGATCAGTAGTGTCAAACTAGAGGCAGCACCCCCCAACATAGCACAACCTGGATTAAAATTTAATTGGGAAATATTTAAGAAAATAAACAAAAATACATAAAACATAGATATTACGTTTTAAAAATTAAATCAATATACTGCTCCCAGGGATCCTTATTTACCCTTTAGTGGTCCATAATTCCTATGTGAGTTTGATATCACAGACCTGGATTGTGGCAAAGCCTCCTAATCTGTCTCCTTGCCTCAAGTCTCTCCCCTCACTCTGGATCCTCCTATGGCACTGCTGCCCATTAACTGAAGATTGGACCATGTCCCTCCCTGACTCAGTCAACTCCATTGGCTTCCTTTTAAAGCCTTTCACAACCTGGCTCCAATCCATGCTTCCTGCCTCATTGTAAATCACCCTTCCCACACTCTGTGTTCCAGCCAAACAGACCTGCTCTCTGTTCCTCACACATGAGGCCCCATCTTCTTTCTCCATGGTTTTGCTCTGCCTGCCCTCCCATGACTAGAATGCATGCCCTCTTTACCTCTACCTCCAGAGTCGCTCTCTTCCTTGAATATGTGCAGCTCACTTACCATCTTCTTCATGAAGCCTTTTCTGATCCCTTCCCCCAAATATTTCTGCCCTCCCTCCCAAACTACCTTTTATGAGCTACTGTGTATAGATTTGTATTAACTTTATGTTGCATTTATCTATTTGCATATGTCCTTGTTTTCTCTTCTATTAGAATATAAACTCTTTGCCATTGGGATTTTTTCATTCTCTTTCCTTGGATTTTCAGTCCTTAGCATAGTGCTCTGTAAATACTTCTTTACTGCCTAATTGACTCACTTTCCATGTGTAAAAGTCTTGCAATATCTTACCATGCTATATGAGTATAAACTATTATGTACCATTCATTCCAAATTTGGGCATATTATAGGTTACTCTTGTTTATGTGGACTGGCTTGAGAGCCTCATCAAAATTAAGAATGGAAGAAAATGATACCAACTTCTAAACACCCAACTTCCTTGCAAACATTTGGAATATTCTTATTGACTCCCTTATTCACCATGGCAACTCTCCTCAATCTGTTCATCAATCAGGAAGCTTTCCCATCACACCTGTAGCCTCAACACACATAACACATAGAGAGCAGAGCATGTAGCTTCCTGCTTCCCTGAGAAGACTGAGGTCCCCCCTTTTCAAAAATATTCAGCATCACCGTTTCTCTCCTCCTATTCTTTTTTTTTTCTTCTTTTTTCTTTTGGTCACAAAAGAAGTATCCTGACTCTTCGCTGGGGTTAATCTCTCTACCTCTGTTCTGGACTCCCACGACTTCCTGACTTTTGCTGTAATCATTCCTTCTCTCCTGCATTTCAGTCTCTCAAGCTCAAAGTTTCCCAAACCAGGCTTATTATCTTGTTTTCCAAATCTGCTTCTTCTTTTGACATACTCATTCCTGGAAGTGGCCCCATCACCTACATAGTTTCCCAGGTTTGAAACCTTTGTGCCATCCTTGCCTCTTTACTTTGTCTTCAGCAGTTTCCTGCTTGCAAAAATCATCAGCTCTTTCCAGCTCTAAAAAACCCTTCTTTGATGCTTTTGGCCTTTCTAGGCGCTGTTCCATCTCTTCCCAAACTTCCAAGCCTTGACTGTTTGCGGCCGCTTTCCCCCTCCCCGGTGCATCCTCAGTGGCTGGGCTTCTGGCTTCCATCACTTAGACTATGGTGATAAGCTCCCTAATTGATCCTACGGCCATGCAGTAGATCCCTTCCATCTCCAATCCACTTGACGCATAACAGCCAAAGGGATATTGCTATAAATACCAGTCTTACCACGTCGTTGTTATTGTCTGTCCTTTTTTGAGGACGACCCGTGACATCAAGGGTGAATTGCATTTAAGTGAGGCAGCTATGTTACAGCGAGGTGGCGCAGGAGGTAAGCATATTAGACTTGGCATCGGGAAAGTTTTGAGTTCGAAGCTGGCCTCAGACACTTCTAGCTATGTGACCCAGGCAAGCCGCTTAACTTGTTTGTCTCAGTTTCCTCGTCCTTAGAATTGACTCCCCACTTACCCGCGCTCTTAGAATCCTTGGCTTCCTTCAGAGCTCAGCTCTAATGCCACCTCATATGTAACATCTTTGTCGATCCTCCCAGATCTAGAACCCCCCCTCTCATCCCGAAATTATCTGGCATTGTGGCATATCGGTTGCCGTCTATTTTGGTTGTTGTTCAGCCATTTCAGTTGTGTCTGATTCTCTGTGACCCCATTTGGGATTTTCTTGGCAAAAAAAATACTGGAGTGATTTGTCATTTCCTTCTCCAACTCATTTAACAGATGAGGAAACTGAGGCAAATAGGGTGAAGTGACTTGCCCAGGGTCACCTAGACAGCTGGATTTGAACTCAGGAAGATGACTTTTCCTGACTCCAGGCTATCACTCTATCTACTGTCTTTGTATCCTTAGTCATTCGCTTAGTGCCTGACACCCAGCTGGTTTTCAGTAAATGCTTGTCAAATGAATGATTGATTGGTTACCTCAGACTCAGTATTTCCCACACTAAGCTCATTATCATTTTGTGCAAACTTGCTTCTCTTGACGTCCTTCCTTTCATCAGTGGCCCCATCATCTTTTCCAATGATATTGAACTCAATTAGAAATGGGGCCACTTGTCATACCTGAGGATCCCTGTGGGCTGAATTTCAGCCTAGAAAACCACATGCTAACATCCTTATGTTCTATTGTATTTCATTTATTTTGTTAAATATTTTAAAATTACATTTCAATCTGGTTCAAGCCAGGCTGCGTGTGGCCCAGAGGTGCCATGGTTGACACTTTTGATCAGCTTGGTCTCTTGGGTTTGAGACCTTGGTGTGAGCCCTGCTTGCATCTTCCCTCTATCTCACTTCTAATGTTTAATCACTAAAATCTCCAGTTCTCTCTCTGCAGCAGCACTCATATCCATCCCCTTTCTACTGTTGCAACAATTTATAGCCTTCTCCCCACCGCAGACCTTCATTATTTCTTGCTAGGACTATTGCTGCGCAGCTAGTAAAGAAGTGGATAGAGCACCGGGCTTGGAGTCAGGAAGATCTGAGTTCAAATCTAGCCTCAGTACTCACTAGCTGTATGGCCAGGGCAAGTCACTTAACCTCTGTTTACTTCAATTCCTCATCTGTAAAATGTGGACATACAGGAGAAAGGGATGGTAAATCACTCTAGTATCTTTGCCAAGGAAACCTCATGGACAGAGTCCGTGGGGTCCTGTGGAGTTGGCTATGGCTTAACAACAACAAAAAGGATTATTGCTATAGTTTAGTGGTAGCCTCAGTTGCCCACCTCGCTTCTCTCTCTGCTATAATTCTTCACGTCATTGACAGAATAATAATCCTTTAGCGTTGATCTGATCATGTCACTGTTCTGAGCAAAATGCCTTTGCTTGGCTCTCTCTTCTCTGTCAAGTTCAAACTCCTTAGCCCGCCATTCAAAGTCCTTCATAATTTATTATCCTATCTTTCCAGGGTTGTCCCATCCTACTCCATAGTTAGACTGGATACTTTCCTCCTTGTATACACCACACTTTTTTTTGAGGCAATCGGGGTTAAATGACTTTCCCAGGGTCACGCAGCTGCTAATGCCAGAAGACGGATTTGAACCCAGTTTTCCTCCTCCAAGCCCCAAAGTCTACCTTCTGCACCATTTTACTTCTCTTTGATAGAATGTTCTGACAGAACTGGAGTTGGGGACTATTACTTCATTGTAGAGTGATTAGGACTTACCTCATGGTCCTCTGTTTGACTTATTTTTTTTAGAAAGAGCAGCTGATGCTGGAGGCGGTGCTGAGACAAAGTAATACCACAGCCATGGATATCTGGGGTAGCCAAAAGGTGGGTAGGGTGGGTAGGGTTGGTAGGGTCCAAATGGATACCAGTAACGGTTCCCATAAAACCGAGAAAACCGTTCATCACTGCCACTCTCCAACTGCGACAAAGAAGTAAAATAGAGTTGCATTATTGAAACTATGGAGGTCCAATAAATAGCTATGTAACATAAAGTACTGTGGAAGTATGCATAATACAAACCAGCTGGTCTTGAAACCAAGAAGACCTGGGTTCAAGTGTTTGTATGTGTTGGCTGTGGGACCTTGGGGGAGTCACTTCTTAGGCCCCCAGGCAACTCTTTAAGACAATATGGTGCATTGACAGTGACAACCTATATTGCTACATTTTTTATCACCCGGGACTTCCCTATAAAAATGAAAACAAAGGTCAGTTGTGCTCTCCACAAACATTTATTATTGTTGTTTCAGTCATGTCCGACTCTGTGGCCCCATTTGGGATTTTCTTGGCAGAGATACCAGAGTGGTTTGTCATTTCCTTCTCCAGGTCATTTTATAGATGCACTGAAGCAAACAGAGTTAAGTGACTTGCCCAGGTCACATGGCTGGTAAGTATCTGACGTTAGATTTGAGCTCAGGAATATGAGTCTTCCTGGCTCCAGGTCTAATACTCTATCTGCTGCAGCACCACCTAGCTGCAACATTTATTAAATGCCTGCTATATGCCAGACGCCTGTCCCATCGTGGAATAGAAGAGAGGGCCTGAATTCAAATCCTGCCTCTCTCTTCTGCACTTTCTACCTAAGTACGCTTGGACAAGTCATTTTGCTTCCCTGGGCCTCAGTTTCCTTGCTGAGGGACTTAGGTGGTGCCTCACGTTGCGACATTTCTCTTATATTCTCTTTTCTCCACCCATGTAACTGCCACCCTGATACAGCCCCTCATCTCCTCTTACCTGGACTACCCCAAGTATCTGTCCCCAGGTCTCTCCTCATCACAGTCTACCTGTCCTTAGCTGCCAAAGTGACTTTTCCAAAACCTAGCTCCTCCCCTCCCCCCCAAGCTCCAGGGCCGCTCTGTTTCCTCCAGCATCTAATGTAAATTCTTTGGGATTTAAAGCTGCCCACCACCTGGGCCCTTCCTACCTTTCTGGTCGTCTTCTGCTTTCCTCCCCTCCTTCCGATCTGCCACCCGGGCCTCCTTGGAGGAGAGAGGTGGAGCGACCCATCCATGGAACTCCAAGGAGGCCAGGGTGGCTGGATGTCTGCTGGGCTGTCCCTGGTGCCCAGGCCACCCTGCCCCTTCCCATCTGCCTCTGGTCACCTTGACTCCCCTGAGGACTCCACTCAAACCCCTCCCCTCTGGGATCACCTGTCTCCTCCCTATGCGTCTTGTATGTATTTCTTTATTTACATGCTGTCTCCCTCATTCTAATGGATGCTCTCTGTTTTTGCCTTTCTTTGTCTCCCGGGGCTTATGACAGTACCTGGCACATAGTAGACACTTAAAATTAAGTCAGCTGGGTGGCACAGCTGGGCCCGGACTCAAGAACTTGTTATTTAATCATGTCCAATTCTTCATGGCCCCATGGTCATGGAGTCAGGAACACTTGCGTTCAAATCCAGCCTTAGATGCTTTCTAGTTGTGTGGCCCTGGGCAAGTCATTGAACCTCTGCCTCAGTTTCCTCAACTGTAAAATGGGGATAATGACAGCATCTACCTCCCAGGGCTGTTTTCAGGATCAAATAAGATAATACTTGTAAAATGCTTAACAGATAGTAGGCACTTAACCAATGTTGTCCCCACCTCCTTTTTGACTGGCTTCCCAACTCTAGTTTAAATCTCTGATCCTATTTCTAAGTTCATCGGGAGAGTTATTTGATATGGGGAGGTCAGGGTAGAAAGTCACTTCCAGCTGATCGTGGCCCAAGTGGGCTATCTGAAGAATCTCAGTTCACTAGATAACTTTCATCTATAAAATATAGCCCGGAAGACTAGACAGTGTTACCTCATCCAGTTGCATTCAAGCAGGACTTTCCCCACCTCCGTGGCACTTGGACTTGTTTAGATTCTATTTATCTGCCTGTTCCTCAAACCCACTACTTTGACTTTTGTCAGGCTTCAGCAGAGAGATTTCTTTCTTTTTTTTTTTTTTGGCTAGACAATGAGGTTAAGCTTCTTGCCCAGGGTAGCACAGCTAGTGAGTGTTACGTGTCTGAGGCCAGATTTGAACTTGGGTCCTCCTGACTCCAGGACTGGTGCTCTATCCACTGCACCACCTAGCTGCCCCAGCAGAGAGATTTCTTTCAGATGCCAAATCTTCTGCCAAAATAGTAATAATGATAATTATAATAAATCTTTTGCAAAAACAGGTTTTGCCATTGGGACAAAAATAAGGTGTTGGTCTTTTGATCTACTTGGCCACTGTTGAAATAAACAGAACCTTAGGGCCTCCCAATTCTCAACTCCTTAGCGGCTGTTTTGTCAAGGGCATAGAATCAGACCTGGAAAGGACTTTGGAAGCCATCTAGGACAGCTCCCTCAATTTATAAGTGAAGAAACGGAGGCCTTGAGGGGACAAATGACTTATCCAGGACCACTTGGCTAGCAAATGTCAGTTAGGACTTGAACCCAGATCTCGACTCCCTTTCTCTGCTTTCATAGCAGATGCTTGAGCTGTGCTGAGCAGAGGACAGCACTGACCACTGAGGTGGATTAGCTTACTCACAACATCATGTTTGGGTAGTGTTTCATCCAAATCCAACCAGATAATTACTCAAGCTAGTCACCTTTTTCATTCAGAACCAGTTTGGACAATGCATAACTATATGTCTCTGATTTCCACTTATGGAAAGAGAAAAGCTCTGTAGTCAGAAACTGTGTCCTAAAGTGCTGATGTCTGAAGCTCCCTCAGTATAATTTGGGGTTTGAGATAGACACACATAATGATTTTTAAAGCTGGCACGTGCTAGGATATTTGCGGACAATTCACGTGGGGCAGCAAACTTGGGAGACACCGCACACTTCTCAGTGAATTGTATTTGAAGTCAGACAACCCGATAAGAGTTGCAGTTTCCCAATTTACAGCCTGTCTGACTGGGGCTGTAATATGTGGCCTCTTTGGGACTCAGTTTCCTCATGTGTAAAATGAAGAGATTCAGCTCAATCGTCTTCAAGATCCCTTCCAACATAAGCGATAAGGTCCTATGACCTGGAGACTAAAACCAAGAGTGCGGCGAAGTCCGATGCACGCTTTGGCAAGTTCAGACTGACATTCCATTTTTCTTGACGCTGTCACAACACGTTTCCTCGTAAACTTCCTGACTACTGTTTCTTCTTTAGCATGGCCAGGGGGCACATCGATTTAACTTCAGTGCCAAAGCATTGATTATTTGAAGTTTAGCTCTGTTTTGATTTCCATGTCTAGCTAGCTATGATTAACCATAAAGTAGGACCGCAAGGGGCGCCATGGCACCTAGAGCAGCAGCCTGAAGTCAGGAAGACTCATCTTCATGAGTTCAAATCTGGCCTCAGACATTGACTAGCTGTGTGACCTAGGCAAATCACTTTGCCCTATTTGCCTCAGTTTCCTCATCTGTAAAATGAGCTGGAGAAGGAAATGTCAAACCATTCCAGCATCTTTGCCAAGAAAACCCCAAATGGGCTCACAAAGAGTTAAACACAGCTAAAAAGACTGAACGACGGTAGCAAAAAAGCCAAACATAAAGTAATCTTTTTTGCTCATCTTCCTCGGCTTAATTTAACATTAATTATCTCATTATCTTCCAAACTCCCTGCTGATTGCTTCTTACATTAGAGAACTGCCACATAATGAGAAGATGGGACTCATTGGAAAAGACCCCGAGGTTGGGAAAGAGTGAAGGCAAAAGGGAAAGGGGAGGGCAGAGTGTGAGATGGAGAGGTGGTGCCACGGAAACAAGGAGTGTGAGTGGGGACAGACTTCAGGAGAGAGTGCAGGGTGGAAGGGCCTGGCGGGCTGCAGTCGGCGGGGTCACGAAGAGTCAGACACAACTAAATGCCCAACAGCAACACTTTTCAGAAAAGAAAGTCCGCTGGACATGCTTCTCTCTATGGCATTTTCAGATGCTTTAGCAGAGGCAATATGGCAAGAGTAAGAGGAACTCACACTTCGCTTTTCTCGTTCCTGGTCCTGAGAGGCCTAAAATACAAACCAGTAGAAAATCCGTCAGATGCAAGCATGCGTGTGGACCCACACACATGTACCCACACACACACACACACACGTCCACACACACCAAAAAGATGTGACTGAGGAGGAGATAACATAGAGAATAGAGGCAGATGTGGTACAGAGAAAAGAAAGCTGCATTTGAATTCAGAGAACCTGGCTTCACTTCCTGTGTGACCCTGGGCAAGTCACTTAACTGCTGTGGGCCTCAGTTTCCTCGTCTGTAAAATGAGGAAGTTGGATTAAGTGAACATCTGGATATGGGCAGCTAGGTGGCACAGTGGATAGAGCACTGGCCCTAGAGTCAGGAGGACCTGAGTTCAAATCTGGCCTCAGACACATATTTCCTAGCTGTGTGACTCTGGGCAAGTCACTTAACCCCAATCTCCTCACCAAAAAACAAACAAACAAGCAAACAAAACCGCATCTGGACAGCAGCAACAGCAAAGGCCCCTTCTAGCCTGGGAGCCATAAGCCTGTGACTAACAGCATGATTGCCATACTGCTTCTCAGGATCTGCCATGATATATTCTTGTTGCTGCTTTTCAGTCATTTCAGTCCTGTCTGACTCTCTGTGAGCCCATTTCAGGTTTTCTTGACAAAGACACTGGACTGGTTTGCCATTTCCTTCTCCAGTTCGTGTTACAGGTGAGGAAACTGAGGTAAGCAAGGTTAGGTGACTTGCCTAAGGTCATGCAGTTAGGAAGTGTCTGAGGATGGATTTGCACTCAGGTCTTCCTGACTCCAGGCCCCATGCTCTATCTGCCGCAGCGCCCCCTAGCTGCTCCTGGCACAATGTGGGCACCTCGTAAATGCTTATTCTCTTGACTCTTCATCAAGACTATGGGCTCTCCTAGTGGACAGGTTAGATGGTCAGAATCATGAGATTTCTATGTAACTAAACCTTTCACTTAAGTGACAAAAAACTGAACCCAAGAGGAAGACGAGCTTCCCGGCCGTGGTGCTAAGGGACCCCATCCATCCTGAAGAAGCCATGGCTCATTTCCTGTTTAAAAACCAGAAAACCAGGGAGGAGAAGCAAAGAGCCCAAAGGCAGATAGAAGGAGGGAACCAAGAGCTCTCGAATACAAAGATCGAGCTTACCAGGGAGCCAAGTGTCATGGCGATGACAGCGATGATGATGAGGGCTTTCATGATCCTCTGCAGCGTGTCCTGGGGGCAAGCGATGCAACATCATGACCGACACAGGGCATTGCTAAGGCATTTTGGGAGATGCAGCTAGTGACTTTAGGGGAGTTGCCTTTCTCTAGGCCTCAGGAAGAAGGAGGGTGTTGACTTAGGCGGTCCCTAAGGCCCCTTCCAGCTCTGACAGTTTATGACTCTGTGACACCTCCACTATTCACCCTATACTTTATATATGATAGATTGCACTTGCCTGAATCCCTTAGCAAATTGTAGAAAGGTTTCCACATCTTTGTTCTGAGTTGCTGAGGTTAACTTTCCATACCAAAGTTAATAATAATAATAAATAATAAGTTTATATTATATATTACAAAAATACAGTATAAATAATATGGTATAATTATAGAATATAAATAAGATTATGAATGAAGATTATAATTATATTATGAATAATAAATATAATATATAACAAGTAATATATAACACTGTATAATTATATAATATATAATGTTACACATAAATAATATTGTAGACATAATATATTATAAATAACAAATACTGTTATATTAATATTATATAAATATATAACATACAATATATTATTATATATTTGATATGATATATGACTATGTAATATATAAGTAATGCCATAAATTATATAATATATTATAAATAATGCATGTTATTATAATGATTATTATACTGGCATTTTAATAATGTTTTAAGGTTTGCAAAGCACTTTATGAATATTATCTTATTTCATCTCAAAATCATCCTGGGAGGTAATTGCTATTATTACCCCCATTTTATAGTGGAGTGAAGTAAGACAGACAGGTGAAATGACTTGTCCAGGGTCACCCAGCTGGTGTCTCAGGCTGAATTTGAACTCAGAGCTTCTTGACTCCCAGTCCAGTGCTCTCTCCACAGTGCTACCTGACCGCCATGATTCCATGATGGCAGATACGGCATGTTGCCTCCAGTCTATGCAGACAGTGGAGGAGGGACCTTGACAGGGTGGAGGAGCTGGGGCGGGAGGGGATTGGACCTAATGGGACAACTTTTCTTTGTTACCTTTTATTGTCATTTCTCATTTTAACGGGAGCGCATCTTGTCTTCCTTACTAGAGTGTAAGCTCCATGAAGGCAGGGGCTATGCCTTTCTCTGAAATTCTCCAAGCCACCAGCTTGGCTACAGTAGGATTTCACTAGCTGCTTGTTGAATTGAATCAAACTCCAGGTTAGAGAACATTTAGCAGAATGGTGTTCTGGAAAGTAAGGAGAATCTTAATGAACTAGAACCCTCAATTAACTATTTTTTTCCCTGCATTAAGAGATATAGCAACGACTCAGCAAACATCTGCATGCCCAGACTACGTATGACAAAGAGCGAGACGATGTCTGCTAACAACTGGCTTACCTTCTAGTAGGGAAGTCAATAAAAGCCATATGAAATGCATATGATAAAAATTTAAAGTTAATTATACAGACACAAATATGCACACAGGGGAATATAGATAGTGCGGTGGTGAGAGCACCAGGCTTGGAATCGGGGAGATTCACCTTCCTGAGTCAAATCTGGCCTCAGACACTTACTAGCTGTGTGACTCTGGGCAAGTCACTTAACCCTATTTGCCTCAGTTTCCTCATGGGTAAAAATGGGCTGCAGAAGAAAATGGCAAACCACGTCTTTGCCGAACAAAGCAAACAAACAGACAGACAAAAAAAAAACCCAAGTGGGATCACGGAGAATTGGACATGACTGAAAACGACCGAACGACAACACGCAGACACAGTACTGTGTTAATAAAAGATCGCATGGGTATCAGGAAGGGCTTCAGATGGTATTTGAGCTGTATCTGAAGGGAAGGAAAGACTGTAAGAGGTGCAAGTAGGGAAGGAGTTTAATTACAGGCATCGACGATGACCAGTGAGTGGTATAGCCCCCATCTGAACTCGATCCAAGTCTGGACAGAGCACTGGAGTCCAGAATGCCTCAGTTCCAATCCGATCTCTGACACTTACTAATTGTGTGATCCTGGGCAAGTCACTTAACCCTCTCAGTCTCAGTTTCCTCATCTGTAAAATGGGGATGATAATGGCACCTACCTCCCAGAGTTGCTCTCAGGATCAAATAACATGTCATGTAAACTACTTTGCAAAATTTAAAGCATTATGTGAATTATGACTATTATTATAGTCCTAAAACAGGGCTATAATAGTCATAATAATACAACCACATTTAATTTCCATTTTCATAGAAAGAATAACGGAGTGACTATTGAGAGGTTTTATTTCTGCTTCCCATTGCCTTCTCCCCCAACCCAGCTAGAAAAGATACTATTCCTGATCTTGGCATCTTGGGCATTAGGATCTTTGGTAAATGATAGATACCAGTATTTGTTTCAGTGAAATTTAGTGAGTCAGTTAAGATGATCATATAAACATATGCTTAGCCTTGGATGGGAATTCCATATGTATATAATATATATGCAAATATATCATTATAGCCCTAATTCATTTGAAAATACATAAATCCTTTCAGGATACATCACAAATTCAGTATGGATTCAAGGCCAATCTCCTAGACCTTACTGTCTACACCGATAGCACTAATGAGTATTGACTGAAGTTCAGAATGAAGAAAAATTACAATATTTTCAAAGAAAGAGGTTAATTATGCTCCCTATACATGTTACCAAAGCCAGAAGGAAGACAGGCCAATCACGTACTTCCAACATAGTTTTAACTACCAGATTGAAATTTTAAAAGGGTTTCCTTATCAACATTTTAACTACAACACCTCATTCCCCACGTATTCTAATTAATAGAAATTTTAAGATGAAATACAAATTCTTTTCATTGAGGCCCAACGAAGAACCACTTCGTTATTAAAAGCTCTCTTACCTCAGACTTTGGGCTCAGATTCTTTCTTCAGATTCTGGTGTGAGGACAGAGAATAAGGTGGCCCCACCACGGACCAATATTTTATATATTCAGAAGCAGGTTGGAATGAAGCTTGTGGCTTGCGGGCTTCTCCCGGGGGATCCAGCATTATCCAGCTGGATCAGGGAATGTCCCAGGGTGTTGAAATTAGGGACCAATCTGGCATTCCCCTTTTCGTAGAAACTGTATTAAAGGGACTAGTGAGTAATTTTACTTATGCTTCCCAATCCAGTTGGGAAAGATATTAATCCTGATCATGGGATCTCGGGCTTTAGCATCTTAATACTTGGTCAATGATAGTGTCAATACCAGCATTATTTGTTTCAGATGAAATTTAATGAGTCGGTTAAGATGATCACATAAACATGTGCTTAGCCTTGGCTAGGAATGCCATATCCTTTTGGGTAATGCCCATTGGGTAGAGCATCCTTTCAAGGAAATGCAGCATTTTAGCTAAGAGCGATAAGCCAAGAGGTAAAACTTAGTCATGGTTGAGCCACAGACCTGTCTGATGTTAGTTATTCATGTTGGTTAAACATCAAAACATTTTATGCAATAAATGACACATTTAGATAGATAGATAGATAGATAGATAGATAGATAGATAGATAGATAGATAGATGAGTAGATAGATAGATAGATGGGTAGATAGATAGATAGATAGATAGATAGATAGATAGATAGATAGATGAGTAGATAGATAGATAGATGGGTAGATAGATAGATAGATAGATAGATAGATAGATATAGATAGATAGATAGATAGATAGATGGGTAGATAGATAGATATAGTAAAGGACTACAAAGTTGTTGGCTTTTTTCTCAAAACAACCTTGTGAGGTAGGTATGGCAGTATGATTTTTATGATAAGTAATAACTTAATTTCATTGTTATACAAATAATAATTTTATTTTATGTAACATGGAAACATAACACATGTAATTGTCATATAAATAGCAGTTTATATGATTACATGAATAACAATTTAAGGACTGTTAGGTGGCACAGAGGATAGAGCAACAAGTCTAGAGTCAGAAAGGCCTGAATTCAAATCCAGCCTCAGACACTTCCCAGGGCAAATCATTTCACTTGGTTTGCCTCAGTTTCCTCATCTGTAAAGTGAGCTGGAGAAAGAAATGGCAAACTACTGCAGTATCTTTGCTGAGAAAATCTCAAGCAGGGTCACAAAGAATTGGACACGATTGAACAATAAGAGTGAATAATAATTTATATATTACATAAATGCATAGATAATAATTTTATGTAACTATCCTATAAATATACAAATATTTTTCTCGTACATAGTTGAGGAAACTGTGGCTTTGAGAGGTGATGTACTTTGCTTTTAGTCACAACTGCCCTGGGAGGTAGGTGCTATTATTGTCCCCATTTTACAGTTGAGGAAACTGAGGTAGTCAGAGGTTGAATGACTTGTCCACGGTCGCACAGCTAGAAAGTGGCTGAGGTAGAATTTGAACTCAGGTCTTCTTGACTCCAGGACAAGCTTTCTCTTCACTGTACCATCTACCTGCCTGAATAAGACCTGAAAGTAGAGATAAAGGTATGGATGTAAGAGATGTTCTGCAAATAGAATCATAGGGACTTAATTGGCAATTACTTAGATTTATGGAGTAAGGGAGTGTGAGTGGGCATTGAACTGGCCCTCTGTAAAAATGGTGGTACCCTCAAGAGAAATAGGGAAGGTTGGAAGAGGGGAAGGTTTAGGGGAGGGTGGGTGGAAGAGAAGAGAACACAATGAAATCTTTTAAGCAGATCACAGACAACCTAGGCCTGCTCATCGCTTTTGCTTCACTCTGTCTGCATCTAAAACAAAAGTGGCTGGAGGCAGGGTGGGACTCACCAGAAGCCACTGTCCTGGAGCCCAGAGCCCATTCGGGGAAGCTTGCTGGAGCCATGTGGATGTGCTGTGGGGGGAGTTTTGTTTGCTCAGCTGCTTCTGGAGGTCCTGGTTAGGTTAGAGCTTAGGAGCCAACTCGTATAGATACAGAGACAAGAGTTTGGGAGCTTGTAAAACGATGGAGCGCCAACGGTGGGAAGAGGCATAATGGGAGAGTATTGGGCGATAATGGCTAAAAAGGAGGTATTTGGGAGATTATCAAAGAGAGAATGGGATGTGACCCACCTTCAAATTGATTACCCTTTGGGATCATTTCCCTACCTTCTTGGGATCTTGTCACAGGCCAGTGGAGCTGTGGAAACCACTAGTGTAGCCCCTTGGGGAGTCACAACCTCTTAGTCCTCCAGACAACTAAATTACACAGGAATTGTTGAGTTCTATCAGTAGGAGTTTTTATGGCAGGAATTCTTTATGGTGATGAAATTTTAATGCTGCACTGAAATCTTTTAAAATTCTAGTATGGTAGATATTATATTCCTGTGTTGTGGATAACATATGCAAATGTGAACTAATACCAGCCCCCTGTTATGGTGTCTCACTGTGCCCCCTTTATTCCCTGTCTTTCCTATCTATGAGAGAGAGAGAGAGAGAGAGAGAGAGAGAGAGAGAGAGAGAGAGAGAGAGAGGTTCAACAAATTCAACACATACAGTTAAATCAATGAACAAGTGAATAAATGCTTCCCCCTTTATCCACTTCCTATGTATTTGTTTTTCCCTCAGACAACTGATGGATTTATTGGGCACAATTCCCCTTTACAGATACTAGTGTAAAGGCTAATGTAATGTTAATACCCAGAAAAAAAAAACAACTTCCCAGTTTAAACAGCTTTTCATAGTTAGGCTGACCTTTGTGGTTGAGATTTAAGTTGTGGTTGTCAATTCTAGGATTTGGAGAGGCGTGGACCCCTTTCCTGTTACAACAGAGCTTTGGTTGAGAAATTCAGGGAAGTTAGAAAGGTCAGAAGATATCATGGCCACACTATGCCTAACTGGATTTCACCAGGCACTTCTTGTGCTTATTGTTAGAGGCATATGTGATGGCCTTACCAAGGCACCTACGTAGCCTTTGGCAAGAGGCAAGGGGCAGTGCTAGGGACCTGGGTTATCTACTCTTGAACTTCCAGATCCCATGGCCTGTAGAAAAGCAGAAGAACTTGGCACGGGTTTCTCTATACACAGTGAGGCCTGGCAGCAGTGATACTGCCCCCAGTTCATGTTCCTCTTTGGGGGAAGAAAGTCAGGCAGCAGCAATTTACCCAACTAGCGAGGAATCAGTAAGGTTACCAAGCTTGGGATGAACACTGTGCTATGTGACGGAGAAACAGATACAAAAATGATCCAGTCTCTGACCCCAAGGAACATATAGTTTAGTGGAGGAAATATAACACATACAGGGGAGTAATGTCAGGTTTAGTTATTAAGTGTCTACTCTGTGGCAGGCACTGTGGGAACTGAGGATGCATAGGCAAACATGAAACTGTTCCTTGCCCTTTAAAAACTTACATCCTTGTATATGCATAGCCTATATCAGATTGCATGCCATCTTGGCAAAGGAGGGGGGGAAAGGAGAGGGAGAAAAATTTAAACCTCAAAAGCTTATAGAAGTGATTGTTGATAAATCAAAATAAATTAATAGAAAAGAAAAAGAAAAGGAGGGGATTGAACTTGGGTGGGGGGAAAGCTTACATTCTTTAGGAATATGTGGGCCACCAGGGAACCGTCGAAAGACTCATTCCATGGTCTCAAGCCTGGCCTGCCTATAACAGTTTCCTATTATCAACTCTGGTTGGAATTGGTTCAATGAGCCTGCGCTTTCAGCCCCAAAGTTGCATTTTCTAACTAGACACTGGGCTTTCCAAACCTGACTTACTCTCTAAGTTTGCTTGATTCCCTAAGTTTAGAGATCTTTTGTACCCAGAACTTAATGACCTTTTCCCCTTCTTCTATCTCTGTCATGATGTCTTGGTATTCAATTCTAGCACCTGGTTTTCTCTTTCCTTTCTAACTTCAGCTACTCCCCACTCTGAACCGTAACAGTATATTTTCTAGGGCTTATTTATAAAGGAAAGTAGGCTAGGAATAGGAATTGGATGGACCATTGTATTGGCATAGGGAATTCCCACATGAAGAAACTGCCTCTACCAATAAAGATCAGAAACCTCACTGCAACTTGTAGTCTTACAGGATTCCGCGATGCACTAAAAGGTTAAGCCATTTGCCCAGGATCGCGTGGCATGTATCAGAGGCAGGACTTGAAATCAGGTCATCCTGCCTGATAATGCAGTTCTCTATCCACTACACCAGTCTGGCTCTCATTTAAAGGAAAATCCACTATAAAATTCAGATAAAATTCAATAAATTCAATAAAATAAGTTTTTTTAAAAATCACAGAATTAAGGCACAATGGCGGCTGAGATAATCAGACGTTCACAGGAAACAAAATCCAAGAAAGGAGCCAGTGGTAAAGCCTGTGGCCTAAAGAAATCAGGTCTGAAATGCTTTCCTAAAATCAACTAGAACTAAACACTTGGGTAAACTGTGTGTGTGTGTGTGTGTGTGTGTGTGTGTGTATTTGTATGTATATGTATATACAATATATATATTTCAATATGATCTGTGTCTTTGCTTTTCATATATCTTATTTTCTTCATTTAAAAACCATTATGCTGAGAAGGAATCCATGGGCTTTGCCAGAGTGTGAAAGGGAACACTGCCTCAGGACACAAAATTGTTTAAGAAATCTTCCTCCTCACGATGGCGCGAAGGTGACTCTGGGTCCTCAAAGACTGTGCCAAGCCACTGTAATCTCTGGCAAGTTCTACCAAGATGGGAAGATTTCAAGTATGGGTCTGGAACGGATTGCATGCTATAGGGCACCTCCCTAATATGACATAGGCCACTAGGTGGCATAGCAGACAGAACCCGGGGCCAGGAGTCATGAAGACCTGAATGCAGATATGGGCCTCAGATGCTTAATGTCTATGTGACCACGGGCACATCACTTAACCTCTGAATGTCTTCATTTTCTCAACTATAAAGTGGGAATAATAGCACCTACCTCTCAGTGATACTGGAAGGATCAAATGAAATATTTATAAAATACTTAGTACAGACTGTGGCACGTGGTACGTGCTTCAGAAGTGCTTTCTTCCTTCTTTACATGTTGTACTGGGTCTGGTGGATGTACAGAGTCAATTTTCCCTCATCAATCTCTTTTCTTTGAAAGCCTTTTTGACTCGATTTGCAAGAGATCTGGCAAATATATAGTCTTGCTTTCCTTTCTTAGGTGCATTCCATCCTTGGCTGTGATAGGAATCACTGGAAAGCCATCAAGAAAGAGGGGTGGCCACCTTACTGCATTCATCACTGAGGGAGCTGCTCCCAGCATCTCTTCTTCTGCTCTGCTCCTTAGATCTCCTTTCATAGGTAGACCCTATGACATTGCATACAAGGCTTTAATTTCCAAGGTATGCACTGGGATGGTTCTTCAAAGGTGCAGGGAGGCTATTTGGCTAAGTAGCTTCTTGAAATTTAGCCTAAGGGGAAACTGTGTCAGGGTTTATTCCTGAGATTCTACTGGTTGAAATTATTTTCCTGAGTTTCTGATTTGGTGACCACAGGGAGAAGTAATATGTTTTATGTTTTAAACTCTGAAATGTGTTGATTACTTGTGTGGATCCCATTCTTTTTTTTTCTCCACTTTTTTTTTTCCTTATGCAAATGGTGAGAGGAGTAGAGAATAACGGAAAGAAAACATATCATTCTATATGATGAAAGGAAAAACATAATTAACAATTGTAACAATGAATGTGAATTGTATATAATGCTATATAATATGAATAGAGTGAATATGTAATGAATTGTATAGTGAATGGGAGGTGGATCATAAAGCAAACATCTTTTCTGTCTTTCATTTTTTAAATGTTTATGTTTGTTGATGGTATTAAGTACATAATATCAAATTTTATGTCAAAAAAGAAAAAAAATACAAATCAATGAAAATATCCCATGTTGTGTATTTTTTCATGTCAAATAAGAGCCCAGTCTATTAATGTATCTTTGTGTGTGTGTGTGTGTGTGTGTGTGTGTGTGAGAGAGAGAGAGAGAGAGAGAGAGAGAGAGAGAGAGAGAGAGAGAGAGGGAGCTTATTGTGAATTTGTTATAAGGTATTGGTCTAAATCTAATTTATGCCAAACTGTTTTCCAATTTTCCTAGCAATTCTTGTCAAATAGGGTAAAGGAATATTAATGGCAATCCAGAAATTAGGGTGCCCCAATTCATGGTAGGTATATGCAACAAGTGATGTCTTCAAAGTCCCATGCAAATTTGGTTTCAGGGTAAAGAGAAGAATCTATGGCGATGATGATGGTCATGAGCAGGAGGGGGGTATCACAAACACCAGTTCAATTCACATTTGTATAGCACTTTAATTTTTGTCAAATGCTTTGCACACATTATCTCCCTTGATTAGACCTATGCATTAAGGTGATTAATCTGTCTGGGGAAGAATGAAAGAAAAGTTTAGAGTAGAGTTTTAAAAAATTATTGAGAAGATTCTTTAGTGTATCTAGTCCAATACCTAGTGCATGTGTTGAGTATAATAAAGATCACACCTCATTTTTATCTTCAAGCCCGACAATGCCTTCAGAAAAGCCATTTAAAAAGAAAATGAATGTTTAGTCTATTATGTGACTTGTATTTAGTGATAGTAAGAGTCTTCATTGCCATATAGATTATGTGATGATAAACTATTTCAAAAGAATATTCAGTTTTCATAAGGACAATTTTCATGAGTGGACTTTGTTTACTGTAGTTTGCTTCCAAAATGATATTTAATTTATGATAATAACTATAAGCAAAAAAATGAATTTAGGAGAGTGAAAGATGTTCTATAAAACAGCATTAATCATGGAAGATCTAAATAAAAGGCTAAAATGAAACATATGGTAAGATAACTTTACTTCATCAAGAAAGACGAAAATTTTTGAAATAGTATGAGTGTAGAACTAGGGATGAGCTTGGCTACTTGGAAAAATAAGTAGACAGTAGATATTCTTTCAGAAAACTTCTTTATAGAGGCAGCTATATTGTAATGAGATTCTTCTTATTCTAGTTGAAAATCTTGAACAGGTCTAGTTTTGATAAGGCTCTAGTATGGGATAACGCCATCTAATCCTCATAGAGAGTCTTTTATCTGAAGAATTATCATTGACGGTATCTTCTCAGTCCTTGTTTTGTCTTGGTGAGCCAGGGATAATTATTTTTGGAGTTACAAAGCAATCAATAACATCTGTTAAGTCATATCCTGATTCTGTGGAGGAGCTGTGAAGAAAAGACGTGACATAATTTCTTTTAGTTAATTGTTTCATTAAACTGAATCATTTCTTATTTGCTCCTTTTTTTTAACTTCCCCTTTCTATGTCCATAGGATATTTTACTGAGAGGGATAGCTGATTAAAATAGAATCTGAAATTTGCATATAACTGTGTTCTTGTTCAAGAAAGCTTTACAGCTGGGGGAATTTCTACCACATAAACTGAAGTAATTTTTTTTGTTTGTTTTCAGGAACGCTAAGGAAGACTTATTTTTGCACATATCTAGTCTACTTGTTCCAAACTAGTGATCATCTGTTGTGTCAAGGGCTATGCACTCCACTGGCACAGAAAGATAATTTTAACAAGTGACTAGGTTACTATTAATTTGGAAGCTGATAATTCACATCTATTGCTGGAAATATTATTGTCTTTAAAATGCCTGGAAAGAATTCTTCATAGGTTTGCCTCAAATTTATATCTTATTGACTACAACTGTATACTATGATTTGGTGGTAGAGAAACCTGAAATAAAAAAAATTAAGGCAAAAGTTTGCCACAAGTTCACCTTCCTGTAGGAAAAAAAACAAATCAGCTTTAGTGAATGACTCTATAGTAGTACAATGAAAGAGGAAAATTTTGCTGAATATTTTTGTACTGTCAGGAGCATATTTTATGAAAGATGCCAGAAATCACTAGCAAATGTTTCCTTTAAGAAGGTAAGAAATTAAAGGTCAGACACACCCATTATCTGTTGAAAGCTGAGTAGCTACTGAATCGAGCATCATGGTAAGGATGTAAAGTAAAATATGTGATGCTACCTTGTGTTGAACAGATGTTCAAATGAGAGTTGGTGGAAATGGGGATGGGCAAAGAGTGACCTTATACTTTAGCATTTTGCAAAAAGAAACTTTGCCATTTTAAAAATACTTTAGGTAAGTGATTTTCATTGGCAAACTGGATTCTACTTAGGCTAGTTAGAAAACACAAATTTTCCTTTCTTCTTTTTCAACTAGTTAAGCAACGAACATTTTGGGGGATGCTATTCTGAGCCTTAGTACCATGCTGTTGTTAGTAAACACAAAGACAAAATGAGGAATTCCTCATCCTAAAGGATTTTATATTCTCAAGGTAGGAAGGGAAGGCATAGCACATCAGTAATTAAAACAGACAAACAAACAAACAAATAAATGAATGAATAAAATACACAACAGATGCAGAAAAATCCTTTGCCAAGGCACATGCTAAAAATCTGACAAAAGAACAGGCATAAATGTCCTTTTTTAAAAAATAAGTATATGTATATATACATATATTATATATATATATATACACACAATATGTATTATGTGTGTATATGTAACAAAAGAGAAGCATTAGAAACATTCTCAATAAATACAGGAGTGAAGCAAGAGTGCTTCCATTTCCCTGAAGTACATGAAATTTCACACAATTTTAGAAATATTAATAACGGCAATAAAATAATGGAAATAAAGACCTAATTATAGTCAAGGAAGAGACATAACTATTCCTGAAATATCCAAAAGAATTGTCAAATAAATGAACTGAAGCAATTAAAAGCTTCAATAAAATAGGATATAAAATAAACCCTCAAAAATCAGTAGAATTTCTCAATAGGAATATAAAGATCCAGATGAAAATAATAGAAAAAGAATTTCTGTTGAGAATAACTGTAGAATGCATAAAATATTTGGGAATCAGTCATCTAAGGCACATTCAAGATGTACATAGGTACATTTACAAATAGCTCCTTAAAGAGATACAGAATGACTAAATAACTGGAGGAATGTTCAGTGTTTCTGTCAAGGCCATGCTTATAAAATAAGAATAATGATACTACCTAAATTAGTTTATAGATTTAGTACTATGCTAATCAAATTAGGAGGGAGATATTTCATAGAAATAGACAAAATAATAAAATTCCTTTGCATGAACAAATATAGAAATATACATCTCTATATATCTGTATAGCTAGATAAATAGAAAGATATGCAAGTATACTATCAAAGGAAAAGCATGAAAAAAAGTTAGAAATGGAGGCAGAATAGCACTTCTAGATCTCAAGTTATATTGCAAAGCAGTAATCATCAAAACTATTCGATTTTGTTTAAAAAATAGAAAAGTTATCTCAATGGAACAGATTAGACAAAAATGAGGAAAAAAATTGAACTCAATAACCTAGTATTTAATAAATATTAAGAGCCCAGAAAGACAGTTTGTAGTTAGAGTGTGAAGGATTTTAAATGCTAAATGGAGGAGTTTGTATTTTATCCTAGAAAAACTGGGGAACCTTTGGATTTTCTTGAGTCAGAGAGTGATCAATGAGATCTGCACTTTAAGAATATGTCGTTGCCGGCTATGAGAAGGTTCATTGAAGAGGGGAAAGACTGAAGGCATGGAAGTCTATTAGAAGTCTATTGCAATAGTACAAGTACAAGGCAGAACAAAGGGGTTGAGAAGTAAGTGGGAGTTGAGAAAATGGAGGCAATAGAGTGCTATTATGGATGACATTAAGTGATAATGGTATTTAGAGGAAGATATTTGGTTATTTCTTCACTAATGAGAGCTAGTGAAAAAGAATACTATTTTCCAGAGCTAAAGTTGCCTTGGTGAGCTATACCTTCCCTCACACCATATAAAGCAAATGTGGTAGTGTGGTCACTGGTGGGAATGACCATGGACTAGTCCATTGGAAAGGCACTTTCCTAAAATCACATAACTTTAGAATTGGAAATAATAATAATAGCTAATAGCTAGCATTTTATATGGTGCTTACTATGTGCCAGGCATTGGGCCAAGCACTTTACAAATTTATCTCGTTTGATCCTCACTACAACCCTGGGAGGTGGGTACTATTATCCTCATTTTACAATGTAAGAAACTGAGGCAAACAGAGGTCGTGACTTGCTCAATGTCACATAGCTAGTCTGATGCTGAGTTTGAACTGAGGGGTTCTCGACTCCAAGCCCAGTGCTGTATCCTCCACCTTCAGATTTAGAAGCTATCTAAGTCAACTTTCATTTATTGAGGAGAAAATTGTCAGTCAATAGAAAAAGCAAATTCTGTGGTAGAGTGGAAAGACTGCTGGGTAGGGAGACAGAGACCTAGATTTGAATTCCTGCTTTACCACTTAGTAATTGTATTACTTTGGACAAATCATTTCCCCTCTCTTGACCTCACTTTCCTTTTCTATAAAACAAAGGAATTCTCATTAATAAATGGTCTCAAAAGTCCCTTCCCAATCTAAGTCTATCACCTTATGATTTTAAGCAAGTAGACTGATTATGACAATAGTTTTCATGATATTAACCTGAAATAAATTCTGTCTTAATTGTAAAGTGATACATTTCTTTTTATGTGTATTTGGGGACCTATATGTTATTTGAATAGTCATAAACATTAAATATACAAAGAAAATAGAAAGAAATAGTTTTGTGAGGGAGGTAACACATGAAACCTGAATCATTCTCCCCCTCCCCTTTGAAATGAATGAAATGTGAAAACCATCATGCTACCTGGAACAGGAAATCACTCTCAACTGCATGAAGAGATGCTTTATTAAAAATATGGTGATTTTCATCAAGGAGCATGTTGGTAACCAGAGCTTTTTTTTTTTGGAGACAATTGGGGTTAAGTGACTTGCCCAAGGTCACACAGCTAATAAGTGTCTAAGGCCAGGTTTGAACTTAGGTCCTCCTGACTTTAGGGCTGGTACTCTATCCAATGCACCACCAATTTGCCTCCACAACTTATAGCTTTTAGGCATTAATTCACTCCTCACAATTGTTTTGGGAAAATTACTTCACTCCACTAATGCTTTCATTGAGTTCTGTGTTTCCTTTGACTTATGGCATTCAATGCATAGTTTGGGGCAAAATTCATTTTTTGGCTTTTTTTTACCTTTCTTCAAAATAACTCCATTCCACAAGAAGAGAGAACTTTATGTTTCCTTCAGCATGTCAGGGTTGATCTGATGATAGAAGAAGACATTCATCATAAGCAATGATTGAATTCTGTCTGGATTGTTTTAACTGGTTTATTAACGGAAGATGAGTCCTCAGTAAGTCCTTATTTAGTACTGCACACATATGACCATGACCAGGACCCCTATGTTTCACTTTCCTTTTCTCTTTATCATCAACAGCAGAAATTTAATTTCTGACATGAGAAAAACCTTTGATTCCTTTACCTTTTCCTCTGTGAGCTCCAAAGGAATGGTATTGTCTGTATCTGTAGAGGAAGTCAAAATATTGCCTCTTGGATGCTTAGAAGCATGGGAAGGCATGAAAATCCCACCATAAGGATATCCAGGGTTCACATTGTCTCCTTGGGGATATGGCAGCACAGTCTCTATTGGCTAAAGAGGGTGAGAATTAGAATAGCAAGTTAGACAATGGGGCCGTATGGGCTAAAACTGGAAGGGATAAAAGATGAAATAAAATATCTTTATGAGAACACATGGTAGTGTACACCTCAACCCCCAGGACATAGACAAAATTCCAGTAAAGTTAAGTATATGCACCATCTGTTGCCAGTTTTTGGCTTAACCCATGCCCTTATATATGAATGTAAACATTACCTTTCTTGAAAATTCCCTGCACAAATCACAGAAACAATAGATATTTTAATCAACTTAAGTGAAAGAGACAAAATAATTTTGTGATGCACACAAAACAGTTCTTGTGGAAATTTATCTCTAAACATTTTCATCAACAAAAGAGAGAAGAAACAGATCAATGAATTAGGCATACAGGTAGAAACAAACAAAATTGAAAGCCAAAAAAAATTTTTTTAAACTTTAGGGTTTTTAATTAATAAAATAAATTTAGCTAATCTGATTTTTTTAAAGGGAGGAAAACCAAATCACAAAATAAAAAGTAAAAATGCTTTACAAAAAATGAAGAAATTAAGATTTTCAGGAACTATTTTGCCCAATATTAAGATAACAAAACTGATATTTTAAATTAAATGGATGAATATTTACAAAAGTACAAAATGGGTAGATGAAGAGAACAGGAAATGGAAAACTTAAATAACTCAAACCAAGAAAAAGAAATTCATATCCTTTGACCCAACAATAGCACTTCTAGGGCTGTATCCCAAAGAGATCATACAAATGGGAAAAGGACCCACATGTACAAAAATATTTATAGCAGCTCCTTTTGTGGTTGCAAAGAATTGGAAATTGAGAAGATGCCCATCAACTGGGGAATGGCTGAGCAAGTTGTGGTATACAAATGTAATGGAATACTATTGTGCTATAAGAAATAATGAGCAGGCAGACTTCAGAAAAACCTGAAAAGACTTGTATGGACTGATGCTGAGTGAAGTGAACAGAACCAGGAGAAAGTTGTACACAGTAACAGCCATATTGTACGATGACTAATATTGATAGACTTAACCCTTCTCAGCAATAGAAGGATCTAAGACATCTCCAAAGGCCTCATGATGGAAAATGCTATCCACATCCAAAGAAAGAACTATGCAGTTTGAATGCAGATCGAAGCATACTATTTACTATTTTTTTTTCTTCTGTTGTGTTTTGTTTCCTCTTTCCGGTGGTTCCTCCTATTGGTTCTAATTCTTACTTACGACATCACCAATGTGAAAATATGTTTAATAGGAATGTATATGTATAGCCCATATCACAGGTGTGCCATCTTGGGGCGGGAGGCTGGGAGGGAGGAGGAGAAAAATTCAAAACTCAAAAGCTTATGGAAGTGATTGTTGATAAATCAAAATAAATTAATAAAAAAAAATCTACATAAAGAAAAAGAAATTCCAAGGGGCTGGGTGTGTGTCTGTGACCATGACCAGGTGAATTTTCAATTGAATTCTATCAAACATTCAAAGAATAATTAATTCCAATATGATATTAATTATTGGCAAAAATAAGAAAAGAAGAAATTCTGCTAAATTTATCCTATGAAACCATAGTCTTAGGGGCAGTTAGGTGGCGCAGTGGATAGAGCACCGGCCCTGAATTCAGGAGGACCTGAGTTCAAATCCAGCCTCAGACCAAACACTTGACACTTACTAGCTGTGTGACCCTGGGCAAGTCATTTAACCCCAGTTGCCTAAAAAAAAAGAAAAAAAAAAGAAAGAAACCATAGTCTTGATATCCAAACCAGGGAAAGACAAAGCATAAAAAGAAAAGTAAAGACCAATATCCCTAATGAATCTTTACACAAAAATATAAAATAAAATGGTAGCAAAAATGCTACAAAAATATATTTAAAAAATTCAAGATAGAGCAAGGGAAAATAACAACAAAATTCATCTGGAGGAACAGGAGGTCAAGAATGCCAGGGAAAATAATGAAAAAATATGGTAAGGAAGGGTAAGTAGCCTTACCACATATGAAACTAAAATTACAAAGTAATAATTATCAAAATTATGGTACATTTTTAATAGAAAAGTTGGTCATCATAATAGATTATGTAGTAATATCTGGAAATAAACTAACATAGTAGGCCAGAATGGTCCCAATTTGCTGCCACCATGATTTTTTGCCTAGAAAAATCCTAGAGAATCAGTGATACAAAGAAACTCATTAAGATAATTTAATAGCTTCAGTAAATGGGATACAAAATAAATCCACTAATATAAAAGTACTTCTACATAACAATAACAAAATCCAGGAGTAAAGAACAGGAAAAAAATCCAATTCAAAGTAACTACAAAATACCTGAAATATTTGGGAGTTAATCCACCAAAATGCATCCTGTTATATCAATAAAATTACAAAATATTCCTTAAGGAAATGAGGAACAACGCAAATAATGGGAGAAATATACAGTGCTCAGAGCTCAGCCATGCTAATATAATAAAAATGACAATATTACTAGAGTTAATTTATGGAAATAATAATAACTAACATTTATGTAGTGCTATGTGCCAGCCACCGTGCTAAGTGCTTTACAATTACTATCTCATTTGATCCCTGATACAGTGTAGGTGCTATTGTTATCTCCTTTTTACAGCTGAGGAAACTGAGGCAAACAAGTTAAGTGACTTGCTGCAGGTCTTGCAGCTAGTAAGTGTCTGAGGCTAGATTTGAACTCATGTCTTTCTGACTCCAGGCTTAGTGCTCTATGTACTATGATGCTACCTAACTGAACCATGGTACACAAAATGCTGAGCCTGTAGTCAGGAAGACATGTTCAAATTTGACCTTAGATACTTCCTAGCTGTGTGACCCTGGGCAAGTCACTTAACTTTTGTCTGATTTCATAAAATGGGGGTAATAAGAGCATTTACTTAACAAGTTGTAAGGATCAAATGAGATAATGTTTGTAAAGTGCTTAGTATAGTGCCTGACACATAGTAGGTGCTCAATAAATGTTTACACTCTTCCTTCCTTCCTTTGTTCCTTCCTTCCTTTGTTCCTTCCTTCCTTCCTTCCTCTGTGATATTTAGGGGAATTATATCATCTCTGTGAACCTCAATTTCCTCATCTATAAAAATAATATGTATTCTACAAAATTCATAGTGTTGGGGTGAGGACATTGATTTGTAAACCTTAAAGTACTATATAAATATGGATTGTTTTTATTGTTACCCTTAAATTACCATTTAATATCATGTGATTCAAATTGGAAAAAATCCTCTGAACATCCTTACCACCCCAGGGTTTCAGGAACATCCCCTCTTAACAGATCCATGTTCATCTGCTGTTGTCCTCCAGGTAATCCCTGCAGAATTAGAGAAACTTGATAACATGTCATTGTTAAGATATTGATGCTGAAGATATTTATATTTAACATATTGGTGTTAAAAAATAAAAATGACCTTCTTACCAGTAAGACCTTGCTATCCTAGAGAATTTCAATCCTCTGCCTTTACCTCCCAAAATATTTACCAAAAAACAAAAATGAATGAAATCCTTGGTTTTATAAAGTTTCTACATATGGTTGAAAGTAACTTTACTAGGACAAGCTCTCCCTCGATTATATTGGGGGGGGGAGATTTTTAGACTTTGTTCGTGCTCCTCGAGATTCCCCTGAATCTCTAGCACAGCATGTTAAGAAACAGACCCGGGTAACAGGCGACTAAGAAGA